CAGAGGCAACGAGTTCAGCTGTTGGCTGGTTGTCTCTGATTGGGAGCCATATTTAAACTGTCTGTTTTTCACTTTGTGTTTGTGGGTTTTTGTTCCGTGTTGGTCATTGTTACCAAGGACGTTACGAGTCGTTTGTTGTTTTGTTTCGTTTCGTGCTTTAATTAAATAAAGTAACATGTTCGTTCATCACGCTGCGCATTGGTCTACTTCTCTCCCTGACGATCTGACAGAAAAACCCACCAAAACTGGATCAAGCAGCGTGACGAGGAGAGAGGATGGACTTGGGAGGAGATGAGTGCGAGTCTGGCAAGAGGGATGGAGGCCTTGGCCACGGGTAGGAGTGAAGCCCATAAAATTTTTAGGGGGGGGCTAACGCCGTGGACGACGGGGCAGCAGGAGGCCGCCAGGTTACGGGAGTCACTGGTCACCAGGGGGAAGGAGGTTGTAGAGGCACGGCGAGAGGTACTGGCGTGTGTTGCCAGTCCGGTCCGGCCTGTTCCTGATCCCCACGTAGGGCCAGTGGTGTGTGTTCCCAGTACGGTCCGGCCTGTTCCTGCCACTAGCACCAAGCCTACGGTGTGCGTCGCCAGCCCAGCCCGGCCTGTCCCTGCTCCACGCACCAAGCCTACGGTGTGCGTCGCCAGCCCAGTCCGGCCTGTCCCTGCTCCACGCACCAAGCCTACGGTGCGAGTCGTCAGCCTGGTCCAGCCTGTTCCTGCCACTCGCACCAAGTCTACGGTGCGCGTCGCCAGCCCGGCCCGGCCTGTTCCTGCCACTCGCACCAAGTCTACGGTGCGCGTCGCCAGCCCGGCCCGGCCTGTTCCTGCCACTCGCACCAAGCCAGGGGTGCGAGTCGTCAGCCTGGTCCAGCCCGTTCCTGCTACTCGCACCAAGCCAGGGGTGCGAGTCGTCAGTCCGGTGAGGCCCGTTCCGGCTCCACGCACCAAGCCAGGGGTGCGCATCGTCAGCCCGGTCCGGCCCGTTGCTGATCCACGCACCAAGCCAGGGGTGCGCATCGTCAGCCAGGTCCGGTCCTTTCCTGCCTCATGCACCAAGCCAGGGGTGCGCGTCGTCTGTCCGGCACAACCCGTGCCTGGGTCACCGGTGCCTAACCAGGTACCGGTCAACGGCTCCACTAAGGAGTTGAAGCTAACCGTTCCTGCTACGTCCAGTCCAGCTCCAGTCAGCGGGACCAGACCAGGGGCGCTATGGGGGGTTTGTTGGAGGGTGGTGGGCAAGCCCGGAGCCAGAACCGCCGCCGAGGAGGAATGCCCACCCAGCCCTCCCCTGTTTTTGCTCGTATTGAGGCGCGGTCGCAGTCCGCGCCTTTAGGGGGGGGTACTGTCACACCCTGGCTCTGGGACTCTATTTGTTGAGCCAGGGTGTGTTCATTCTATGTGTTTATTTTCTATGTTGGGGGTTCTAGTTCTTCATTTTCTATGTTTGCCTGAGTGACTCCCAATCAGAGGCAACGAGTTCAGCTGTTGGCTGGTTGTCTCTGATTGGGAGCCATATTTAAACTGTCTGTTTTTCACTTTGTGTTTGTGGGTTTTTGTTCCGTGTTGGTCATTGTTACCAAGGACGTTACGAGTCGTTTGTTGTTTTGTTTCGTTTCGTGCTTTAATTAAATAAAGTAACATGTTCGTTCATCACGCTGCGCATTGGTCTACTTCTCTCCCTGACGATCTGACAGAAAAACCCACCAAAACTGGATCAAGCAGCGTGACGAGGAGAGAGGATGGACTTGGGAGGAGATGAGTGCGAGTCTGGCAAGAGGGATGGAGGCCTTGGCCACGGGTAGGAGTGAAGCCCATAAAATTTTTAGGGGGGGGCTAACGCCGTGGACGACGGGGCAGCAGGAGGCCGCCAGGTTACGGGAGTCACTGGTCACCAGGGGGAAGGAGGTTGTAGAGGCACGGCGAGAGGTACTGGCGTGTGTTGCCAGTCCGGTCCGGCCTGTTCCTGATCCCCACGTAGGGCCAGTGGTGTGTGTTCCCAGTACGGTCCGGCCTGTTCCTGCCACTAGCACCAAGCCTACGGTGTGCGTCGCCAGCCCAGCCCGGCCTGTCCCTGCTCCACGCACCAAGCCTACGGTGTGCGTCGCCAGCCCAGTCCGGCCTGTCCCTGCTCCACGCACCAAGCCTACGGTGCGAGTCGTCAGCCTGGTCCAGCCTGTTCCTGCCACTCGCACCAAGTCTACGGTGCGCGTCGCCAGCCCGGCCCGGCCTGTTCCTGCCACTCGCACCAAGTCTACGGTGCGCGTCGCCAGCCCGGCCCGGCCTGTTCCTGCCACTCGCACCAAGCCAGGGGTGCGAGTCGTCAGCCTGGTCCAGCCCGTTCCTGCTACTCGCACCAAGCCAGGGGTGCGAGTCGTCAGTCCGGTGAGGCCCGTTCCGGCTCCACGCACCAAGCCAGGGGTGCGCATCGTCAGCCCGGTCCGGCCCGTTGCTGATCCACGCACCAAGCCAGGGGTGCGCATCGTCAGCCAGGTCCGGTCCTTTCCTGCCTCACGCACCAAGCCAGGGGTGCGCGTCGTCTGTCCGGCACAACCCGTGCCTGGGTCACCGGTGCCTAACCAGGTACCGGTCAACGGCTCCACTAAGGAGTTGAAGCTAACCGTTCCTGCTACGTCCAGTCCAGCTCCAGTCAGCGGGACCAGACCAGGGGCGCTATGGGGGGTTTGTTGGAGGGTGGTGGGCAAGCCCGGAGCCAGAACCGCCGCCGAGGAGGAATGCCCACCCAGCCCTCCCCTGTTTTTGCTCGTATTGAGGCGCGGTCGCAGTCCGCGCCTTTAGGGGGGGGGTACTGTCACACCCTGGCTCTGGGACTCTATTTGTTGAGCCAGGGTGTGTTCATTCTATGTGTTTATTTTCTATGTTGGGGGTTCTAGTTCTTCATTTTCTATGTTTGCCTGAGTGACTCCCAATCAGAGGCAACGAGTTCAGCTGTTGGCTGGTTGTCTCTGATTGGGAGCCATATTTAAACTGTCTGTTTTTCACTTTGTGTTTGTGGGTTTTTGTTCCGTGTTGGTCATTGTTACCAAGGACGTTACGAGTCGTTTGTTGTTTTGTTAAAGAAGGATCTTTAAGCCTTGAGACAATTGAGACATGAATTGTGTATGTGTGACATTCAGAGGGTGAATGGGCAAAACAAAATATTTAAGTGCCTTTGAACGGGGTATGGTAGTAGGTGCCAGGCGTACCGGTTTGAGTATGTCAAGAACTGCAACGCTGCTGGGTTTTTCACACTCAACAGTTTCCCGTGTGTATCAAGAATGATCCACCACCCAAAGGACATCCAGCTAACTTGACACAACTGGGAAGCATTGGAGTCAACATGGGCCAGCATCCCTGTGGAACACTTTCGACACCTTGTAGAGTCCATGCCCCGACGAATTGAGGCTGTTCTGAGGGCAAAAGGGGGTGCATCTCAATATTAGAAAGGTGTTTGTGCACTCAGTGTATCTTCTTGTTCTCTTTTGTGTAGGCCTATCTCAATGTTTTTTGCATTGGTCACTGTGATGCTGAGTGGGACAGTGTGGCAGTGGGTCCTGGTGGTGTGAACTCCTGTAATCTCTCCCTAGCTCGCTCTCTCTCTCTCTCTCTCTCAGCATCTGCAGGCCTAGGGGCCATTTGCAGTTCTGACCACTCTGACACACACACACACTTGTTTCCCTCACGCTTTGAAGTTTGTAGAGCCAGATGGATAGCCTCTTATTGATCTCAGAGATTAGGTGTTCTGATTCTGTATTTTGTGAAATTATTATTATTCAAGCCATCAGATGAAAATCATGCGAAATATAGTAGATACTGTATTTGTTTCCATAAGAAGTATGTTTTTTGTGCATTACTGATAATCATAGGCTAATCAAATGAACATTCAGAGGTAGCTAGGCTCTATAATTAGTTATAGTGCAGTGAAGTGATGGATGGGCAGATATGAAGCCACAGGTGTGTTCGGTGGCTTGCTCGACTAAGATTACATCATAGTCTACAAGGCTACAACTCACCTGTGCACTATGCAGTGATTTAACTTTCACCCCAAAACATGCGGCAACAAAATCAAGTCAACATCTTAATAAAAAAGTTGCAGCAGCAGTATTTCATAAATATACAATATCTAAATGAAATATCGATAGTGCACGGCGGGTTGCCCGTATCAAGACATGCGCGTGCCTACGCATAGCTCAGAACGCCCACTATGCGGCAATTGAAAAGGCGATTGGCTGCTAAAGATAACGGTACCTCCGGTTATTTCGTGATTGGTCGAGGGTGACTTGAACATTACGTTATGCCTATTCTACGAATACACTGGGAGCTTCTGAAAAGGAAGACGTAATGGTGTGATTCCTTGTGTCCTTGCAATGGTCATCATTCTAATATTACACGACAAATTCCACAACCGGGAGTCAGAATGAAGGTATGGTAGGCCTATTGCAATGTCAATGTATCTATGTTGTGAAATTTTGTACAGCCGGCTTGCATTCGATCTATATTACAACTTTGAAATCCGGTGCGTCGACAAATAGTAACAAAATGTCAATTTGGCATCCAGTCAAACCTATTAATTGTTATGCAATTACACTACATTCATTATGTTGTTTGTCTGTTTGCTTTAAAGGGTTTCAAACTCTGATTTTACGGATACATGTATAAGGTGAGTGACAGTAGTGTTTTTGCCGGTTGGAATATCTTCTCAGGGCTGAAATGTTTATATTGCGTTGTATTTACAATGGCATGGATACAGTAAATGTTGATGGTCACGAGCTCTTTCTGACCCTCAGTCTGACACTAGTTTGCATCTCCCTCGCAGTGAACTGTATACCACAGTGCAATGTCCATTCATTTCCCCATCGTTAATCTGCCGAATGAGAACAGTATACTGCAGTCAATGAGTGATGGAATATTTTGAGATGTCTGGTCTATTGATAATCACCATCCCTAGTATTTGGACTCACTAATCACTGACCAGGAGTGCTAGAACAGGCGAGAACAACAACAATGGTGGAGGTGATGGTGATGATGATGAAGAGGAGGGTGAGGATGGATGATTATGATAAATTACCCCCTTGCATTTTTTTCAGTGTGAGTATCCAAAGTATGGGAAAGTTGTTTACCTAATTTTAATTAACAAAGCCTAACCCTTAAGTCCTGTTTCTTGCAACACTGTAGTAATGAGTATCAGAGTGTAGAATTGTGTTTATAGTAGGTGATAGATAAGATCTTCTAAATTGAGCAATTATTTCCACTGGCAATGTTTGGCTCCGATCCAGCATATCAGTGTTATGTTGTACAGCAGGCAGTAGTCTTTCAGATTGCTATAGTATCACAAGGTGCCATGCAAAGTCAACATAAGGAGTCTCTCCCCACCCCGTGTAGAGAGCTAAATACTTTGCAGTGAATACATATCTTCCTTGATTTTGCAATGAAGGAACACATTTATATCAGATAATTGTGGATACATACAGTGCATTCAGAAAGTATTCAGATCCCTTCACTTTTTCCAAATGTTATGTTACAGCCTTATTCTAAAATGGATTAAATTAATTTGTTCCTCATCAATCTATATACCGCACCCCATAATGACAAAGCAAAAACAGGTTATTTGAATTTTTTGCAAATGTATTACAAATAAAAAACAGAAATACTGTATTTACATAAGTATTCAAACCCTTTGCGATGAGACTTGATATTGAGCTCAGGTGCATCCTGTTTCTGTTGATCATCCTTGAGATGTTTCTACAACTTGATTGGAGTCCACCTGTGGTAAATTCAATTGATTGGACATAATTTGGAAAGGCACACACATGTCTATATAAGGTCCCACAGTTGACAGTGCATGTCAGAGCAAAAACCAAGCCATGAGGTTGAAGGAATTGTCCGTAGAGCTCCAAGACAGGATTGTTGTCGAGGCACAGATCTGGTGAAGGGTACCAAAAAATGTCTGCAGCATTGAAAGGCCCCAAGAACACAGTGGCCTCCATCATTCTTAAATGGAAGAAGTTTGGAACCACCAAGACTCTTCCTAGAGCTGGCCGCCCGACCAAACTGAGCAATCGGGGGAGAAGGGCCTTGGTCAGGGAGGTGACCAAGAACCCGATGGTCACGCTGACAGAGCTCCAGAGTTCCTCTGTGGAGACGGGAGAACCTTCCAGAAGGACATCCATCTCTGCAGCACTCCACCAATCAGGCCTTAATGGTAGAGTGGCCAGACGGAAGCCACTCCTCAGTAAAAGGCACATGACAGCCTGCTTGGAGTTTGCCAAAAGGCACCTAAAGGACTCTCAGACCATGTCTCAGACCATGTTTCTGGAGGAAACCTGGCACCATCCCTTCAGTGAAGCATGGTGATGGCAGCATCATGCTGTGGGGATGTTTTTCAGTGGCAGGGACTGGGAGACTAGTCAGGATCGAGGGGAAAGATGAACGGAGCAAAGTACAGAGTGATCCTTGTTGAAAACCTGCTTCAGAGCGCTCAAGACCTCAGACTGGGGCGAAGGTTCACCTTCCAACAGGACAATGGCCCTAAGCACACAGCCAAGACACCGCAGGAGTGGCTTCGGGACAAGTCTCTGAATGTCCTTGAATGGCCCAGCTAGAGCCCGGACTTGAACCCGATCGAACATCTCTGGAGAGACCTGAAAATAGCTGTGCAGCGACGCTCCTCATCCAACCTGACAGAGCTTGAGAAGATCTGTAGAAAATAAATGGGAGAAACTCCCCAAATACAGGTGTGCCAAGCTTTTAGCGTCATACCCGAGAAGACTCTAGGCTGTAATCGCTGCCAAAGGTGCTTCAACAAAGTACTGAGTAAAGGGTCTGAATACTTATGTAAATGTAATATTTCAGGGGGGGGGTTTGTATACATTTGCAAAAATGTCTTACAACCTGTTTTTGCTTGTTATGGGGTATTGTGTGTAGATTGATGAGGGGAAAAAAACTATTTAATCAATTTTAGAATAAGGCTGTAACGTATGTTTGTGTAACATCTATATCTTCAAGTTCTCAATATTGTCCTTTATCTGCTTCCCTAGTCTTTGAATAGTGATGTATTTTAGGGGCCTAAATCAGTTTGTTGTCTCAGTGCAGGTGAAAGGTCATCTGGTCTCTGTCTGATCATGACAAACAATCATCTGCCCCAGAGAGATGGCTGTGATGTTTTATTGACTAATCTAGTTTATATTGAAAAGCAGCTTTTCAGCTCATGAGAAATGGAGGATGATAGCTGTAATACATTTAGAAACACACATTAAACATTTTTGTTGCAGTCAGTGTATCATATGTTTTTAATCTAATTCATTGATACTGCATTGTCATAAGGATTCTGTTATTCGACATGACTTCTCTTGAGTTCCACTGATTTGTCAATCATGGGTAGTTGTTAGAGACAGGTCTGTTGCTCATTGGGGCATATTGTTTTGTTGTGCAAGAGAATTCACTCAGGATAGGTTGACTGGCATGACCCAGTTCTGAATTCTAAAATGGATTTGGAACTCTGAGATTAGGAGCTATGGTCTGTTGTAATTAAATGTGATAGAGACTCAGAAAGGTAGCAGTTTCCCTGGCGGTCATTATTAAATATGCCAGTCATATTTTAATCTCAGGATTATCTCCTGAGCAGACACACCATTTTGGTTTTATTGCCTGCAACCCAAAGTCCAAATCACTCTTTTTTATTAGTAGGAGCTGTCCTCTTCCACCCCGAAGGTAAGGCTTTAAAGGTACAAATTTATGATGCACAGGAAATTCGCGCCATCAGTTATCATTGACATGTTTGAATGCAGTCTTTTGAATAGCACACATTCATACATTGTGATTAGCTGTGCCTTCCCTGACAAAAGCAGCAAGAGATTGATTGAATCAGCTAGATTTTTCCGTCAGTCTTACTTCCTGATCTCAATGGAGATGAAGTCTAGTGCAGGCTGCCAGCTGACTGCACGCTTCACTATGTGAATGGCATCTCCCCCTGATGGGGACGGGGAAAGAGAAGAGAGAGAGGGAAGAGAGGATAATCAAACTAAATTGATCATCAAATCACACGCAGGTGTAAACTTTACTGTGAAATGCGTATTTACGAGCCCTTTCCCAACGCAGAGTAAAAAATTAATAAATAATAGTAACACAATAAAATAACATTAACAAGGCTATATACAAGGAGCATCGGTACCGAGTCAATGTGCAGGGGTACGAGATAGTTGAGGTAATATGTACATGTCATGTAGGTAGGGGTCAAAGTGACTAGACTATCAGGATAGATAATGAACAGAGTAGCAGCAGTGTATATGAAGAGTGTGAAAGTGTGTCTATGTGTGTGTGTGTGTGTGTGTGTGTATGTGTGGGTAGCCATTTGATTAACTGTTCAGCAGTCTTATGGCTTGGGGGTAGAAGTTGTTCAGGAGCCTTTTGGTCCCAGACCTGGTGCTCCAGTATCGCTTGCCATGCGGTAGCAGAGAGAACAGTCTATGACGGGTGGCTGGAGTCTTTGACAAGTTTTAGGACCTTCCTCTGACACCACCTGGTATAGAGGTCCTGGATGGCAGGGAGCTCGGTCCCAGTGATGTACTGGGCCGTACGCACTATCCTCTGTTGCGCCTTACGGTCGGATGCCAAGCAGTTTCCATACCAAACTGTGATGCAGCCAGTTAAGATGCTCTCAATGGTGCAGCTGTATAACTTTTTGAGGATCTGAGGGCCCATACCAAATCTTTTCCGTTTCCTGAGGGGGAAGAGGCGTTGTCGTGCCCTCTTCACGACCATGATAGGTCCTTAGTGATGTGGAAACCGAGGAACTTGAAGCTCTAGACCCGGTCCACTACAGCCCCGACGATGTGAATTAGGGCGTGCTCGGCCCTCCGTTTCCTGTAGTCCACAATCAGCTCCTTTGTCTTGCTGACGTTGTAGGAAAGGTTGTTGTCCTAGCACCACACTGCCAGGTCTCTGACCTCCTTCCTATAGGCAGTTTCAATGTTGTCGGTGATCAGCCCTAACACCATTGAGACGTGTGATGGTATTGGAGTCGTGTGTGGATAAGTGGCTGGAAGCGTGAAGGCTAGGGACACTGGGACAGGGTCTATTGTTTTGGTGGGGCGGCAGGTAGGCTAGCGGTTAAATGCATTGGGCCCAAGAGTGTTGGGCCAGTAACCAAAGGTCGCTGGTTTGAGTCCCCTAGGTGAAAAATCTGTTGATGTGCCCTCGAGCAAGGCACTTAACCCTAATTGTGCCTGTAATTCCCTCTGGATAAGAGTGTCTGCTAAATGGCAAAATACATTTAATGGTGTGTCAACAGTAATATCTGTAATTATTGTCACAGTTTGTCTACGTTGTCTGGTCTTTGTTCTTTACAAAATGTCTTAAGCCCTATTTATACCTGGTTCTAACATGCATCAATTGTCCTGATCTTGTCCACATTCTGATTGTGCTCACATTTTCAGACAGGTGTTCCGATTAAAAAACGCAGGAGGTAGTCAGGCACGCATTGTGTATGGATATCTTACAAGTGTAGACGGATCTGGACAGTGAAACCATTTAAATCATAATTATCCCGCCTACTTAAATCATTGACAGGTGGCACCATTGACTTATGGCATCAATGTCTTAAAATAAATACATAAATATGATTTTGAAAGTATAGCTGTTAAATAATTGGCATACAGTGAGGGACCAGGAAATCTGGTCACAATGCGTACAAAGTAGATAGATATGAGACATCTTAATACCATGTGTAGACATATTTCTGAAAATGTGGGCACAATTAGAATGTGGACAAGATCAGGACAAAGAACGCATGTTAGAGCCAGGTATAAACAAGGCTTTGCACTATAGTCTGCCAAAAATAATGATAGAAGTCAAAGTTCAAAAACTTATAAAAAAGCACAGCGCTCCTCAGCAGGTCCAGCGCATCAGCAGATTGACTGTTTGCTTCACTGTCAAAATGTCTGATATGACAAGTGCAAGTTAGGGGCCCTAATCCCCTTTTCAGATTAAACTGCCTACAACCAGGCGTGTTATAGTAAGACTTAATCTTTAATCTTCATGTAGATGAGATATTAATAAGCGCAAAAGTGTATATATTGGTAACAGAGTAGTGCATTTTACTGTAACTCTTGTTTGCAGTTATCGGTTGTATGCTTTGTCGGTCCCTCCCTTCAGAGCTTACTGGGTGCTAATTGAGGTGACAGGGGAAAGCGCTTCCTCTGGCGCAGCGCCAGATACGAGTGATTTCATGACCAGACCACAGTGCCACCTCCTGCTAAATCTAGCAGAAGAGAGTAGGAAGGGTGTAGGAAGGGTGTAGTAATGGCCCACTGAGTAACTGTCCAAAGGGAGAGGGAGCATCTGAGTCATGGTGGATCTTTTACCACTCTTTCTGTGTGCCTGGTTTATGCCCCATTGCCTGCTTGAAGGTCAGATGTACGAGTAGGACACTCATCTTTTCCCATTGACTGCAATGTATTGAGAAAAACGTCAACCCTGTGACAATCATCTTTTCGCATTGATTACAATGTATTCAGAAAAACATCAGCTCCTGTGACATTTTACCTTCATTCAAAAACATGCCAGGATGACGTTTTCTTATATTATGTTTCACAACCAGCTTATTGCTGTAGTGTATTTCTGGGAAGACCATCTCAGTGCAGTCAGTTCCAGATATAGCATTTAGCTCCTGGATTATGTAACTGCAGGCTGGCTAAGCAGACAGGCGAAGAGAGGTGAGATGTTGTGGCAGGTCATGGCTGAGCAGAACTTCATTTGTGGACAGCAGCGGCCTCATCTCGTAAAATATAGCCTACACTCACTGTCTCCTCTACTGAACTCAGACAGAGCCACATACTGTATGCTCATGTCAGCTATTGATTCCCCAGACCCTGTAACAGGAGACATATTCTCTCCCTGCCCTCTTCCACTCCTCCCCTCATCAGTATGCTCCAAGGAGCTGCGTCGGGGAACACGCCATTTCGGGTCTCAGGCTCTGGAGTGGACAGTCTTGCAGTCAGTAAACATTGATCAGGCAAACATGTCACATCCATTGTATGGTCCTTTTATGGACCACATGAATATCGCTAAGTGCACCTACTCTACTAGGTCATAAGGCTTCCATATCTGAGAAATTACCCCACTGCTCCCATATTAACCATTCAAGTTAACATAGAGAGGATGTTTTCAATGAGAACCATAGCATACTCTCATCAGGGGATTTGATGACTGTAGCGTTGAGTGGGACCAGGCATTCCTACTTCAGTGTTGTTATTCAATAGGTAATGGACAGAAACTTAAAGTGGCAATCTGCAGTTGTTACATCCATTTTTGGACTTATAAATTAATGATGTGATACTATACGCATTGAGTCTAGAAAAATATAACTTAGAAATGCCCCATGAGCTTAGTTCAACTGTCGAACCCCATCAGAACCGAAAATAAGCTGGTTTTAAACAAAGTAAATGTAAGCAAACACTATATAGTAGGGGTATTCAACTCTTACCCTATGAGGTCCAGAGCCTGCTGGTTCTCTGTTCTACCTGATAATTTATTGCACACACCTGGTGTCCCAGGTCTAAATCAGTCCCTGATTAGAGGGGAACAATGAAAAACTGCAGTGGAACTGGCTTTGAGGTCCAGAGTTGTGTTTGAGGGTTATAAAACCTCAAAACATGGTTAAAACTATAATTTTGATATCATGGATGGGTCAGGCCTTGCATCCATAGCGCAAAACTAAAACGGAAGGTCAGATAAAGGATTGTTTGCCTAGACCACAAATGGGGCGCGTCAACTAAAGGTGTTAACCCTCCACATCTCTCAAGACAACTGGAGCACTGGGCCAGCTACTCTTAAATAGCACCTGGGACAGCACAGGTGAAACACCTTCCCACTAACGAGATGACAAACCAGCACAGGTGTAACACATACTGACTAATGAGGTGACACCAATCGGATCACCCCACATGCTAACGTCTAATCTCAAAATATAAATGGAAAAAACTAAGCCTGTAACAGCAGCAGCAACACAGGTAGTCTACTAGACTCTAACTAACCACCATATACTAAAATATACACACAAGCCACTAGCCAGCCAGTGATATATCATGAGTTAGAAGTTTATGAATATTATATTAAGAAGTTATTATTTAAGAGCATTGAAGATAAATCACAATCATAAAGAATATATATACAGTGAGGGAAAAAAGTATTTGATCCCCTGCTGATTTTGTACGTTTGCCCACTGACAAAGAAATGATCAGTCTATAATTTTAATGGTAGGTTTATTTGAACAGTGAGAGACAGAATAACAACAAAGAAATCCAGAAAAACGCATGTCAAAAATGTTATACATTGATTTACATTTTAATGAGGGAAATAAGTATTTGACCCCTCTGCAAAACATGACTTAGTACTTCAAAACATGACTTAGTACTTGGTGGCAAAACCCTTGTTGGCAATAACAGAGGTCAGACGTTTCTTGTAGTTGTCCACCAGGTTATCACACATCTCAGGAGGGATTTTGTCCCACTCCTCTTTGCAGATCTTCTCCAAGTCATTAAGGTTTCAAGGCTGACGTTTGGCAACTCGAACCTTCAGCTCCCTCCACAGATTTTCTATGGGATTAAGGTCTGGAGACTGGCTAGGCCTCTCCAGGACCTTAATGTGCTTCTTCTTAAGCCACTCCTCTGTTGCCTTGGCCGTGTGTTTTGGGTCATTGTCATGCTGGAATACCCATCCACGACCTATTTTCAATGACCTGGCTGAGGGAAGGAGGTTCTCTCCCAAGATTTGACGGTACACGGCCCCGTCCATCGTCCCTTTGATGCGGTGAAGTTGTCCTGTCCCCTTAGCAGAAAAACACCCCCAAAGCATAATGTTTCCACCTCCATGTTTGACGGTGGGGATGGGGTTCTTCGGGTCATAGGCAGCATTCCTCCTCCTCCAAACATGACGAGTTGAGTTGATGCCAAAGAGCTCCATTTTGGTCTCATCTGCCACAACACTTTCACCCAGTTCTCCTCTGAATCATTTAGATGTTCATTGGCAAACTTCAGACGGGCATGTATATGTGCTTTCTTGAGCAGGGGGACCTTGCTGGCGCTGCAGGATTTCAGTCCTTCACGGCGTAGTGTGTTACCAATTGTTTTCTTGGTGACTATGGTCCCAGCTGCCTTGAGATCATTGACAAGATCCTCCCATGTAGTTCTGGGCTGATTCCTCACCGTTCTCATGATCATTGCAACTCCACGACATGAGATCTTGCATGGAGCCCCAGGCCGAGGAAGATTGACAGTTGTTTTGTGTTTCTTCCATTTGCAAATAATGTCACCAAACTGTTGTCAGCCCATTCCAGCCTTGTGTAGGTCTACAATCTTGTCCCTGACATCCTTGGAGAGCTCTTTGGTCTTGGCCATGGTGGAGAGTTTGCAATCTGATTGATTGCTTCTGTGCACAGGTGTCTTTTATACAGGTAACAAGCTGAGATTAGGAGCACTCCCTTTAAGAGTGTGCTCCTAATCTCAGCTCGTTACCTGTATAACAGACACCTGGGAGCCAGAAATCTTTCTGATTGAGAGGGGGTCAAATACTTATTTCCCTCATTAAAATGCAAATCAATTTATACAATTTTTGACATGCGTTTTTCTGGATTTTTTTTTTGTTATTCTGTCTCTCACTGTTCAAATAAACCTACCATTGAAATTATAGACTGATCATTTATTTGTCAGTGGGCAAACGTACAAAATCAGCAGGGGATCAAATACTTTTTTCCCTCACTGTATATAGAGCTAGCTAACTAGCAGATGGGTGCCCTTTTTTCATTTTGAGCACCTGCACCATGAAAGGTCTGTGCACGGCCCTGATTTGCAGTCCACATTCACTGTCTTTTTTGTGTGTCTTTCACTCTGTTACTTTTGGATTTATTAAGTTCCTTCCTCTGAAGCTCTATAGGCTGTATAACATTCACCTCTGCACCGCCACACATTGTTCACAGGCCTCTGTTCTGAATATGCCAGCTGCCGTCAGGCACTGCTACACATTTTCTTTATGTGCTAGCACCACAGAGACTGTATTATAATACTTCAATGCCTTTTGTAGAGGAACTCAGGAGCTACAAAGGCATGTACAGTCGTGGTCAAAAGTTTAGAGAATGACACAAGTATTGGTCTTCACAAAGTTTGCTGCTTCAGTGTTTTTAGATATTTTTGTCAGATCTTACTATGGTATACTGAAGTATAATTACAAGCATTCCATAAGTGTCAAAGGCTTTTATTGATAATTACATTGACATTAAGAGTCAATATTTGCAGTGTTGACCCTTCTTTTTCAAGACCTCTGCATTCCGCCCTGGCATGCTGTCAATTAACTTCTGGGCCACATCCTGACTGATGGCAGCCCATTCTTGCAAAATCAATGCTTGGATTTTGTCCGAATTTGTGGGTTTTTGTTTGTCCACCCACCTCTTGAGGATTGACCAAGTTCTCAATGGGTTTCCTTGCAGGTAACCATGGTTAACAGAGGAAGAACAATGATTTCAAGCACCACCCTCCTTTTAAAGCTTCCAGTCTTTTATTCTAACTCAATCAGCATGACAGAGTGATCTCTAGCCTTGTCCTCGTCAACACTCTCACCTGTGTTAACGAGAGAATCACTGACATGATGTCAGCTGGTGCTTTTGTGGCAGGGCTGAAATGCAGTGGAAATGTTTTTTGGGGATTAAGTTCATTTTCATGGCAAAGAGGGACTTTGCTATTAATTGCAATTCATCTGATCACTCTTCATAACATTCTGGAGTACATGCAAATTGACATCATAAAAACTGAGGCAGCAGACTTTGTGAAAATTTATATTTGTGTAATTCTCAAAACGTTTGACCACGACTGTAGTTCATCAGATGGGGGAGGTGGTTGAGCAGCTGAAGATCTCAATGAGGCATTGTGGGATTCCGGGACAAATTACAAATGACATGAGAAGTCTGAGATACCATTCCCTTAGTGATGCGACCTGCAACAAAAGTTGTACTTTTCTCTAGTATAGTGTTAGAGGTGAAATTGGGGCACTGTATTGATTGCATTGTAGGCTACTATGATTTCAGTACTGCCAAAGGCATATTGTTTATGAAGCTACTGGGATGGATAATAGGACTCTAAACTATGCATTCAAATTTGGAGAAATTAATTTAAAAAGAACAGACGTGCATGCTGTGTGTGTTTGTGTCGTAGGCAGGAGCATCGTCCATGTGGGCTTCATGCTGCGGGCTGCTGAATGAGGTGATGGGCACAGGGACGGTGCGCGGGCAGCAGCCAGGGTTCGGGGCTGGGGCGGGGCCCTTCCGCTTTGCCCCCAGCGCTGGGTACTCCACATACCCCCCCACCAGCTCAGGGAGTGCAGGTCAGCTCTGCAAGGCCTGTGGACTGGCCTTCTCTGTCTTCAGGCGCAAGGTAGGTGGTGATGAGGTTGATGACGATAGCGTGTAAAAAGATGATGGTGATGATGAGGAGTAGGAAGAACACTGTGCCCCTTATAAATAAACTAATAAAACTCTAACTTCCATATGAAATACTCAATCATACTGGCCACACCAGGGCACCATCTTAGACTGCAGACAGGTAAATGGCAGAGTGTATCTAGGCTTTGACTGACAGTGTGGCATGCTGGGACAGCGATGAAAGCCCCTGGAAGGTTCAGCGTTCTCCCAGCTTCCAGACTCAGAATGCTCTATCAGCCCGCTCATACCTGTTGCCATGCCGATGGTAGGTTAAATCCCGGGATATATTGTACCCACACGTGTGTGTGTGTGTGTGTGTGTGTGTGTGTGTGTGTGTGTGTGTGTGTGTGTGTGTGTGTGGCTCAGGTCGATATCTGTGTCAAGAAAGGAGAGGTTCTGGGGGACTAGCACAGATGATTGATGAATGGATCTGTCAGAGTGTGAATGTCCTCTTTCTGGTTCGCAGCTCATTTGCAATGCACACCAATGATATGGAAATAATTTCTGGCCATATCCCACCTTTTCTGTCTCCATTCAGACTACCTGTCAGTCAATTCATCTGAATTTCCTCAGTAAACCAAGATAAGCTTGTAAAGGTCAGGAATAGCTGGACAATATTCCATATAGTATTATTTAGCTTGTCTGTGCCAAATGGGATAAGGTCATCGTCTTTCCTAGGACATAGTGACATCATCGGGAATGAGTCCTTGTTTTGGAAAGCTGTTGTCTGGTAGATTTGGCAGAGCCCTCTCATTAGTTGTAATTAAGAGTTCTAAAACCAGGATAGTTAATTGACTCCATGATGCCAATAATTAATTAAATCTAGTAAGGAATTGATCAGGAGGAATGGACATGACAGGCTGATGGGATCGCCTCTCTTCTAAATGTGTGTGGTGAGTGTCTCTCTCTACAGTGCCTTGCAAAAGTATTCATCCCCCTTGGCGTTTTTCCTATTTTGTTGCTTTACAACCTGTATTTAAATGGATTTTTATTTGGATTTCATGTAATGGACATACACAAAATAGTGAAATTAAAAAAAATCTAAAATATTAATCACAGAAAAGTGGTGCGTGCATATGTATTCACCCCCTTTGCTATGAAGCCCCTAAATAATATCTGGTGCAACCAATTACCTTCAGAAGTCACATAATTAGTTAAATAAAGTCCACCTGTGTGCAATCGAAGTGTCACATGATCTGTCACATGATCTCAGTATATATACACCTGTTCTGAAAGGCCCCAGAGTCTGCAACACCACTAAGCAAGGGGCACCACCAAGCAAGCTGCACCATGAAGACCAAGGAGCTCTCCAAACAGGTCAGGGACAAAGTTGTGGAGAAGTATAAATCAGGTTTGGGTTAAAAAAAAAAATATCAGAAACTTTGAACATCCCATGGAGCACCATTAAATCCATTATTAAAACATTTAAAGAATATGGCACCACAACAAACCTGCCAAGAGAGGGCTGCCCACCAAAACTCACGGACCAGGCAAGGAGGGCATTAATCAGAGAGGCAACAAAGAGACCTCTGTAGCTCAATTGGTAGAGCATGGCGCTTGTAACGCCAGGGTAGTGTGTTCGATCCCCGGGACCACCCATACGTAAAAATTTATGCACACATGACTGTAAGTCGCTTTGGATAAAAGCGTCTGCTAAATGGCATATTATATTATTATTATAACCCTGAAGGAGCTGCAAAGCTCCACAGCGGAGATTGGAGTATCTGTCCATAGGACCACTTTAAGCCGTACACTCCACAGAGCTGGGCTTTACAGAAGAGTGGCCAGAAAAAAGTCATTGCTTAAAGAAAAAATAAGCAAACACGTTTGGTGTTCGCCAAAAGACATGTGGGAGACTCCCCAAACATATGGAAGAAGGTACTCTGGTCAGATGAGACTAAAATTGAGCTTTTGGGCCATCAAGGAAAACGTTATGTCTGGCACAAACCCAACACCTCTCATCACCCCGAGAACACCATCCCCAGTGAAGCATGGTGGTGGCAGCATCATGCTGTGGGGATGTTTTTCATCGGCAGGGACTGGGAAACTTGTCAGGAATGATGGCTGGCGCTAAATACAGGGAAATTCTTGAGGGAAACCTGTTTCAGTCTTCCAGAGATTTGAGACTGGGACGGAGGTTCACCTTCCAGCAGGACAATGACCCTAAGCATACTGCTAATGCAACACTCGAGTGGTTTAAGGGGAAACATTTAAATGCCTTGGAATGGCCTAGTCAAAGCCCAGACCTCAATCCAATTGAGAATCTGTGGTATGACTTAAAGATTGCTGTACACCAGCAGAACCCATCCAACTTGAAGAAGCTAGAGCAGTTTTGCCTTGAACAATGGGCAATAATCCCAGTGGCTAACATTTTTTACATCTTCAAAGTGGTTAGGCATGTTGTGTAAATCAAATGATACAAACCCCCCCAAAAAATTGTACGGCAACAAAATAGAAAAAATGCCAAGGGGGGTGAATACTTTCGTAAGCCACTGTATCTCTATATCTCGCTCTGTCTCTCTCTCGCTTTCTCTCAGCACATATGCTCGGACTGTAAGAAAAGTTTCTGCGCCCTGTGCTCGGTGCTGCAAGAGAACCTCCGCTGCTGCACCACCTGCCACCTCCTGCGCAGCACGGCCTTCCAGAGACCACAGCTCATGGCGCTTCGCGTTAAAGACCTGCGCCAGTACCTGCTGCTGCGCAACATCCCTACAGACACCTGCAGGGAGAAGGAGGACCTGGTTGACCTGGTGCTCTGCCACCAGGAAGCTGGGGAAAACACCTTGACGCAAGGAGGTGTAGAGGAAGAGGAGGAAGAGGAGGAGGAGGAGGAGGAAGAAGAGGAGGAGGAGGAGGATGCAGACACGGACAGCCTCCACTCGCTCCCCCACTCCATCCACGCCTCGCCCCCCTCAGCCGCACGACACTCCGTCTCGGAGCAGTCGTCTCTCTCCACCTCGGAACAGTCGGCTCTCTCCGCCTCTCAGGGAGACACTCCTCTCAGCCGGAGTGACAGCTCAGGGACCGCTCAGAGCCTGGTATGACTACACACACACATAACACACACACACGCATGCAAACATTCATGCACACACACACACACACTCACAAACACAACTTGGTCCCATTCCCCATACCGTTACCATCTTCCCTGCTCTTTTGACATCTGTCCTTCTTGTATCAAAGCTAATTAATGTTAAGCTTGATAAGCACATGGCATGGATGTGGGAAACATATTTGTCAGTGTGAAGTAGAGTTGTCACAGCTAAGCATAACAATCAACAACGAGCAATTGCTACTCTAGTGAATGTAAATGGTTTATGATTGTCGACAGCCCTGCTGAAAGTAACCCCTTCGATAACCATTTAGACTAAATATAGGAGCATAAAAAGCTTACAAGCATTCTAGTAATTGCAGTATAGTTTATTGCAGTCAGGCCCTGTTCTTTGGAGCCAGTCTGATACAGTCTGGTGCTTTGTGTGTTTGACATGAATGAAGGGCTTCACTCACACAGATCATCTGCTACATTCATATTTCATACTGCACAATTTCAGTATTTTCTATGATCTGACATCCAGCTGCTCTCCAGCTGCTCTTACAGTGCAACCATGGGAGCTGCAGCCAGTCATCAACAGCCAGGGCTTAAACCCTTCGCTTTTTTTAGGCCTGTCATGCTGTTGGTTATGTAACAACGCTCAGGCTGACTTTCGATTCCACTCAACAGCACAGCTGTAATTGAAAAGAGAGAGAAAGACAACAATACTGCTCACATCTCTGTCCGTGGGATCATTTTGGCCTAAACATCAAAATCCTCCACTCCTATTGTAATGCTTAAAAGCTAAAGGATCAAATTAGTGGCTTAGCTGGTGCCTGGTGGTAGTGCAGTTGTTCGGTTGTGGTGTTGTCAGTTGTTAGAGCTGGGCTGGGGATGCTAGCACGCCACGAACAGGCCTGCTGATGCATTATTAACACAGGTGCATACTGGCAGCCTGCGGCTGATTGGTCCAGTGGAATGAACATCAGCCTCCCCCGACCCCCTATAGACCCAGCCGTCATCGTGATGTCACACCAGAAGAATGGCTTACCCCTGCACCATTAGCTAATTGCTTGTTGTGCGGTGGTCCGGTGGAGGGGAGGAGAGGAGAGAGGAGGGGATGAGTAGGCTACTCTCATGATCATTGCTGTTTTATGTCCTTTCGTCATTGCACATAAAGGGCTGAGTTAATGCAGGGCAATACGCCACAAGGTAAACACATTCTAATCAGACTCACTCTGTGTTTTTGCTGCATCCCTGCCAAGACCATTGGATTCTGGTTGCAGGCAAACTCCTAATATAGTTATCATATTCAAAGGGAATAGTTAACCAATCAGTTAAGATTAGAAGAAGCAAATGGTGCTGAATGCTAAATGTAACATGGTACTTTTAGAGGATACGCCTACAGTGAGGGAAAAAAGTATTTGATCCCCTGCTGATTTTGTACGTTTGCCCACTGACAAATAAATGATCAGTCTATCATTTTAATGGTAGGTTTATTTGAACAGTGAGAGACAGAATAACAACAACAAAATCCAGAAAAATGCATGTCAAAAATGTTATAAATTGATTTGCATTTTAATGAGGGAAATAAGTATTTGACCCCCTCTCAATCAGAAAGATTTCTGGCTCCCAGGTGTCTTTTATACAGGTAACGAGCTGAGATTAGGAGCACACTCTTAAAGGGAGTGCTCCTAATCTCAGCTTGTTACCTGTATAAAAGACACCTGTCCACAGAAGCAATCAATCAATCAGATTCCAAACTCTCCACCATGGCCAAGACCAAAGAGCTCTCCAAGGATGTCAGGGACAAGATTGTAGACCTACTGTCACAAGAATTTCTATCTCTAATTAATCAAACTTAATGCTCTGAATAATTCCCAGAGGGTGTAAGGCTCTGGTTTAATCATGAATTAAACAAAGGTCCACAACCAGCAAGAATGATCTGTATGTTTAATCATGGAGAGCTCTGCCGCCAAAAAACACATATACAGCTTTTATACTTCACACAAAGGCACTTTGCTCCGCCCACCTTTAGGAGGCCTTTAACCAGTTTCTCAGTCCCCTTCATCCTGGAATGTTTGTCTCAGCAGTTTCTAACTCACCCCCTCTGTTAGTGGGTTCATAATGATAACCCTAACACAGTTCACACAGTCATCATCAGTATTGGGGTTAACAATTTTTGTCATAATCATAATTTCTCTATCACCTACACAAGGCTGGAATGCGCTACAAGACCATCGCCAAGCAGCTTGGTGAGAAGGTGACAACAGTTGGTGCGATTATTCGCAAATGGAAGAAACACAAAAGAACTGTCAATCTCCCTTGGCCTGGGGCTCCATGCAAGATCTCACCTCGTGGAGTTGCAATGATCATGAGAACGGTGAGGAATCAGCCCAGAACTACACGGGAGGATCTTGTCAATGATCTCAAGGCAGCTGGGACCATAGTCACCAAGAAAACAATTGGTAACACACTACGCCGTGAAGGACTGAAATCCTGCAGCGCCCGCAAGGTCCCCCTGCTCAAGAAAGCACATATACAGGGCCATCTGAAGTTTGCCAATGAACATCTAAATGATTCAGAGGAGAACTGGGTGAAAGTGTTGTGGTCAGATGAGACCAAAATCGAGCTCTTTGGCATCAACTCAACTCGGCGTGTTTGGAGGAGGAGGAATGCTGCCTATGACCCCAAGAACACCATCCCCACCGTCAAACATGGAGGTGGAAACATTATGTTTTGGGGGTGTTTTTCTGCTAAGGGGACAGGACAACTTCACCGCATCAAAGGGACGATGGACGGGGCCATGTACTGTCAAATCTTGGGTGAGAACCTTCCCTCAGCCAGGGCATTGTAAATTGGTCTTGGATGGGTATTCCAGCATGACAATGACCCAAAACACACAGCCAAGGCAACAAAGGAGTGGCTCAAGAAGAAGCACATTAAGGTCCTGGAGTGGCCTAGCCAGTCTCCAGACCTTAATCCCATAGAAAATCTGTGGAAGGAGCTGAAGGTTCGAGTTGCCAAACGTCAGCCTCGAAACCTTAATGACTTGGAGAAGATCTGCAAAGAGGAGTGGAACAAAATCCCTCCTTAGATGTGTGCAAACCTGGTGGCCAACTACAAGAAATGTCTGACCTCTGTGATTGCCAACAAGGGTTTTGCCACCAAGTACTAAGTCATGTTTTGCAGAGGGGTCAAATACTTATTTCCCTCATTAAAATGCAAATCAATTTATAACATTTCTGACATGCGTTTTTGTGGATGTTTTTGTTGTTATTCTGTCTCTCACTGTTCAAATAAACCTACCATTAAAATTATAGACTGATCATACCTTTGTCAGTGGGCAAACGTACAAAATCAGCAGGGGATCAAATACTTTTTTCCCTCACTGTACATACATACATACATACATACATACATACAGTGCCTTGCGAAAGTATTCACCCCCCTTGGCGTTTTTCCTTCAGACATTTTAAGAGAGACATCAAATATGAATTAGAGTTTTGAAATTTACAGCAAACTGTACTATTTTTATTTCCCTCTGATGGATGTTTAGTATGACTCAAAAGCACTGCAAGTGCATGTCTAGTGATTACAGCACCTCTGGTGGTGTTTTATAGAAGTTCTGATTTGTGGGAGAAAGGGTGAGGAGCGTCAGACAACACAAGTATTTCAAAACTGTCATATCTGCTCCAGTACTGTTTCTAAAACTGCTGTTGATCCCCTTTTGTGTTGTGTTTTGTTTCCAGGAGCATGGGGAATCTCCGACCATCCCCCTCCTTCACCTGGAACCTGCCAGTGTACCTATCATAGAGGTGAGACGACCAGCCCTTTACCTCAATCTGCCTCTGTCCTTTGTCTCCACCTCATGTATTTAACTGAAGAGAAATCACTGACCCACTCTTGTGAGAGCATTCACTTGGTCAGTTGTATTGCCTCAATGACCATGGTGTGACCAAACCTAGTTATAATTGAACTTTTTGTTTCCTGAAGTGCCTCCTCTTTTATCTCTGTAGGTCAGTCCAGTGACACAGAGGAGGATGCGGGCCTCTCTATCTGACCTGGACAATGAAGGGGACATTGAGAGCCTGTCTGTCCGGCAGCTCAAAGAGATTCTGGCCCGTAACTTTGTCAACTACTCTGGCTGCTGTGAGAAGTGGGAGCTGATAGAGCGGGTCCATCGGCTCTACAGGGAGAACGAGCTGAACAGGAAGTCCAGTAAGCACCACGTTGAATCATTTTAGCCCTCCTATACCAACTAACCTAACCTTAACTAGAACACTACTGATCCTGTTGATAACAACCTTCATAGCTTATCAATCTCCAGTTCAAACCTAGTTTGAACAATAGAGAAACTGTCCAAGTTAAAACATTTTTCTTTGATTTGGTCCAGATACACAATATTAAAGATGTATTTCTGTATTTTCTTCCAGTGGAAAATGTCAGCAACATCAACAGCATGACCGCAGGTGAGGGCATTCAATACTGTTTTGTTGGGTTGTATTGTTTATTACATGATGCACATATATTTGAGTTGTGTACAGGAAATGACTGTACAGGAAATGACTGTGTACAGGAATTGTGTACAGGAAATGACTGTGTACAGGAATTGTGTACAGGAAATGACTGTGTACAGGAAATGACTGTGTACAGGAATTGTTCTTATACTATGTGAGGAGGAAGAATTGGAGTAAGAGCTTGTATCCTATTAGAATCACTAATGGCTGTTTTGTCACTGCCCCTTTCCTTCTGTAAATAAAGTGGTGTCATATCCTCCGCCTATCTGCAATGGTGCAGTGGAAGGTAAAGCACTGTGCATGTGTAAAGGCATGTCTAACTCCACCATTATCCCACCTGCAAAACCATCACTGTCTTGAAATACAACTCTCCATATTGATGCATGCTGAAGTCTTATTTTTCCTGTTCGATCCCGACCAGAACATTTTTCCCTGCATGGTCACATTGCTTAATTTTTTTATGTGCTTCTCATTTCCATCATATCATTGGTCCTGAAGGCTTGTCGTTCATCCTGTCGTTAATGTGATCCCTATTTACCTCTTTACGACCCATCATTTTATTTCAGGTTGAATTACATGTATCAGTACAGGTCTTTGAGACACCCTTCATAATAATATAAAGGTCTTAAGGATGGTATAATCCCCTCCTGAGTAATACGCTATGTGCTGTTCTGAGAGAGACCACCTCATCCTGCTGTCTAACTGGCTATTTGGGCACTACATCATCATGTACAGCAGGGTTCTTCAATTCCGGTCCTGGAGGGCCGAAACACCTCTGTTTTTCATCCTCTCCTTCTAATCAGGGGCTAATTCAGACCTGGGACACCAGGTGAGTGCAATTAACTACCAGGTAGAAATAAAAAACAGAAGTGTTTCGGCCCTCCAGGACCGGAATTGAAGAACCCTGATGTACAGTATGTGAATGAGCCTAGAGAAGACAGCCATCCTCAGGCTGTGAGCTCCGTAGAGTAATACTGTTTTCTCAGGCGTTGTTTTTCTCCACAGACGGTGTGAAGGCTCAGCTGGCCTCTGATGACCACCTGTGTCGCATCTGCATGGACGCTGTGATCGACTGTGTGCTGCTGGAGTGCGGTCACATGGTCACCTGTACTAAATGTGGGATGAGGATGAGCGAGTGCCCCATCTGCAGGCAGTACGTGGTGCGGGCCGTGCACGTCTTCAAGTCTTAACTCTGCCGTGAGCGTGCATGTCAGCCAAGGATATTGAAGCTGTTGGGGAAAACCTGAGGTGTGCTTGAAAACCTGAGGTGAATGGTTTTGCAAGTTTCCAAGGACTTAATGCTGCAGCAGACGTGCACATCCTCCAGTCCAAATGACATGCAGAGCAGACAGCTTCAAACGGCCTAACTTCTACTACTGCTACTAGAACTACAAGAGCCGCACAGGAAACTGCTCTGTCTGGTCTGAACCTCCACTGGCTCCAGGTCACTGACTGACCTTCTGTCTTTAGTGTGATACACACTGAACTGTTTCAAAAATAACTCTACAATATCTTATTTTACAGTGCTTCATTTTAATTTGTTTTTTACTTTTAATAAACCATGAAGCGGAATTGGTCCCATCAGGGCCGGTATACCGAACGGGGACACAGGGCTTGTGCCCCGGGGCCCCCGACCTTCCCCAACCAAATTTGTATTTATTTGGGGGTTGTGGGTCCCCTGGAGGTTGGTGGGCCCCCCAGATAGCAAAATGTGTATAATTGCAGGAAATTCGCTTTAAAACTGCAAAAGTCTCTCTCAACCTCATTGGAAAATGTGTAGAATAGCAGGAAATTTGCTTTAAAACATACTTTTTTTGTCACAGCCTCAAGGCAAAATGTGAACAATAGCATGAGATGAGATATAAAACAGCAAATTTTTCTCTCTGACCGATAGCAAAAAGTGTAAAATTGCAGGAAATTAGCTTAAAAACTGCAACATTTCCTCTTAGCCTCATGATGAAATGTGTAGAAGACCATTTTAAAACTTGGGGGGGAGTGCCTTGAGGTCGGAGCCCCAGGGCTCCAAATGGAGATCATTATGATATCCCAGGGTTAGAGTCAATATGGTTTACACTCATACCACACCAGGTTATATTGTACGTATCTCCTTCAATGTTCTTTAGTATGTGCAATATTAAAAAAGAGACTTCTATGTGTGAGTGAGAAACTGTCTTTCTGTCTATAAACCAGTCTGAGAAACTCAACCAGGCTGCATGTCTCTGTGATGTTCCATTCTACACACACACACACACACACACACACACACACACACACACACACACACACACACGGAGGAGGGTGTTTTTGGTGCCAAACTTCATACCACAATTTATTACTGATTTCTTATTGCTGTTTCTATGCTAAGTTCACTCCTCACTTCAGACCATGCATTGTAGATTTGAGCAGCATCCAACCCAAACTCGAAAGCCTCAAACAATGTGTAAACCATCAAGCTCAGTGATTGGTTGGTTGGATTGTAGGGAAGCTCTTAAACCACATGCTATGGGTTAGTAGGGGCTTCAGTTCAAGGCTGTCCGACCCATGTTCTCCTTGCATGTGTTTAATCAGTCACAAGTGATATCACATTATGATCAATGTCTACTATGTTGATGATCTTGTTTGGCTTAGATTAGGCTCCTGTCTACTGTGGTAACATACCATACACTGTGGCTGGGTCATCCCATGATTTACGTTCCTATGCTCTTTGTCTGCGTATCATTTATTAAAGTCTGGCATGACTGTCAATGTGTCTCTGCTACTTAGCTTAATTAAGCAATAGCATTCCATTACTTTTCCTAGGTCTTTTGTCCGCTTGTGTTGTCCATTGGCTTGGTGTTCACCTCTTGAGAAGAAGGTAACAGGTGCTAATTCCTCTGTTCTGAGCTTGTATTTAAACATGTATTTTATCATCTCATTTCAAGAGAAGAAAAGGATGCATAAACTCAAAGTCTTTTAAGTTTGTTTATACAAATACAACTTCTGTTCTCTTTCATAAAATTATATTTATTCAAATGTCTTTAAAAAAAAGTATCTACTAATGCCTGTAGATAGTTATAGAGGAAAAGCTTATTGCTGTAAAATTAATTGCATATGATATCTAATATTGTTGTTTACTGATATGTAAGCTATTGATAAATATATTTTTCCATTTGCTTTGGATGTCTTAATATACTTTATTAGCATTTATTTATATTTTAAGAGGTTGAATTGAATTTTTTTCAGAATGTAAATGCCCTTCATTTGATCAGATGAATATGACTCTCCACCAATCATAAACAGAGAGCTCACTGATCATGACATTTCACTATTAAAGTTGTTTAATAATTTTATTTTGGTGCATTTCTTGTCCTTACCTGCTAGGGGATTCAAAACCTTGTGAATATTTGTACATCACACACAGTAGCGAACACTGTCACTATGTTTACATGTATGTTTATTATAATGCTGCCAGATCTCAAAGATGTCACTTGTAGGCAGCTATATGATGTCAGTTATAGCTATGAGCACTCAATGGAATCCTGGATCTTTGTATTTTGGAATGCTGACCTTTTTATTTAGGTAATTACAATAAAATTATTTAGTAGATTTAATAAAATACTGTATCATAAAAGAATAAGCAGAGATCCTGTTATTTTTTTTAACACTGCTGTATCCGACCGGTTCCCTCAATAATAATAATAATAATAATAATAATAATATGCCATTTAGCAGACGCTTTTATCCAAAGCGACTTACAGTCATGCGTGCATACATTTTTGTGTATGGGTGGTCCCGGGGATCGAACCCACTACCTTGGCGTTACAAGCGCCGTGCTCTCAATCACTTGTTTATCCCCGGTTAAATGAATGCTATGTTGACAAAATGGCAAACTATTCCAAATGTTGATGTTTAAGGTCTTTATTTCAGAATGTAAAAACCGTTAATAGATATTCCAACGTATGACATACTTTAAACATATTTCACAAATGTTTTGTTTACATATTGCACAGAATGCTTATAAACATGACCAAAAAGATAAATTAAGACGATCGTGGAAACATATGACCAAAAATAGAGAGCTCAGTATTTAGGATGAGTTTTTAGTAACTCAAAAGTCAAACAGTTCTCTATACAGTATATACAGTTGAACCAATGACATACTAGTACTAAAATATTTCCCAACTGCACAGGGAAGACATGGTTGGTAGTTAGGCCTGTCCTCATACAAAAAAAAGTATATTTATATACGTTAGGACCCCCCAGTAGCCATACTTTTGTCATTTCCTGTAATTAACACGAGTTAAAAACAAACTGGGTAACTGTACAGTCAGTGTCTCTGACGGGTAACTAACTACATTCCTTATATTACACCGGTAGTAAGTAGTGGCTTTATTTGTGTATGCAGGTTATTATTAGACCATATACATACTGTACTGTTTTTGCTGAATATAATGAAGTGTCTGGTTAAAGATATTCTCCAGTACTTTTGTATACTTTTTAGCCAGTAGTTCTGAAAGTAGCGCTCATGAGCCAAAACTGGTCCCCGAAAATTGCGTACTACATCACGTGAAGATATGTGCACCACGTCATTGCTCTTTCGCTCTACTGTGTGTGCGCATCTTGCTAGCTGTCACTCAAGTATTTCACGGTTAAGTCTACACCCATTGTATTCGGCGCACGTGACAAATACAATTTGATGGCGAGGGGCTGAAGCTCATTGGCTGAAACTCGAATTGCTAGGGGGCTGGCCCACATGGGGGAAAATGGCGGAGCCTACAGGTTCCAGTAAACAGTTATTTTCAAACGAGCGATTTCGTGGCTAACAGGAATTCTGTTAATACAGTGAGGGAAAAAAGTATTTGATCCCCTGCTGATTTTGTACGTTTGCCCACTGATAAAGAAATGATCAGTATCATTTTAATGGTAGGTTTATTTGAACAGTGAGAGACAGAATAACAACAACAAAATCCAGAAAAACGCATGTCAAAAATGTTATAAATTGATTTGCATTTTAATGAGGGAAATAAGTATTTGACCCCCTCTCAATCAGAAAGATTTCTGGCTCCCAGGTGTCTTTTATACAGGTAACGAGCTGAGATTAGGAGCACATTCTTAAAGGAAGTGCTCCTAATCTCAGTTTGTTACCGGTATAAAAGACGCCTGTCCACAGAAGCAATCAATCAATCAGATTCCAAACTCTCCACCATGGCCAAGACCAAAGAGCTCTCCAAGGATGTCAGGGACAAGATTGTAGACCTACACAAGGCTGGAATGGGCTACAAGACCATCGCCAAGCAGCTTGGTGAGAAGGTGACAACAGTTGGTGCGATTATTCGCAAATGGAAGAAACACAAAAGAACTGTCAATCTCCCTTGGCCTGGGGCTCCATGCAAGATCTCACCTCGTGGAGTTGCAATGATCATGAGAACGGTGAGGAATCAGCCCAGAACTACACGGGAGGATCTTGTCAATGATCTCAAGGCAGCTGGGACCATAGTCACCAAGAAAACAATTGGTAACACACTACGCCGTGAAGGACTGAAATCCTGCAGCAAGGTCCCCCTGCTCAAGAAAGCACATATACAGGGCCATCTGAAGTTTGCCAATGAACATCTGAATGATTCAGAGGAGAACTGGGTGAAAGTGTTGTGGTCAGATGAGACCAAAATCGAGCTCTTTGGCATCTACTCAACTCGCCGTGTTTGGAGGAGGAGGAAGGCTGCCTATGACCCCAAGAACACCTTCCCCACCGTCAAACATGGAGGTGGAAACATTATGCTTTGGGGGTGTTTTTCTGCTAAGGGGACAGGACAACTTCACCGCATCAAAGGGATGATGGACGGGGCCATGTACCGTCAAATCTTGGGTGAGAACCTCCTTCCCTCAGCCAGGGCATTGAACATGGGTCGTGGATGGGTATTCCAGCATGACAATGACCCAAAACACATGGCCAAGGCAACAAAGGAGTGGCTCAAGAAGAAGCACATTAAGGTCCTGGAGTGGCCTAGCCAGTCTCCAGACCTTAATCCCATAGAAAATCTGTGGAGGGAGCTGAAGGTTCGAGTTGCCAAACGTCAGCCTTGAAACTTTAATGACTTGGAGAAGATCTGCAAAGAGGCCTGGAACAAAATCCCTCCTGAGATGTGTGCAAACCTGGTGGCCAACTACAAGAAACGTCTGACCTCTGTGATTGCCAACAAGGGTTTTGCCACCAAGTACTAAGTCATGTTTTACAGAGGGGTCAAATACTTATTTCCCTCATTAAAATGCAAATCAATTCATAACATTTTTGACATGCGTTTTTCTGGATTTCTTTGTTGTTATTCTGTCTCTCACTGTTCAAATAAACCTACCATTAAAATTATAGACTGATCATTTCTTTGTCAGTGGGCAAACGTACAAAATCAGCAGGGGATCAAATACTTTTTTTCCCCTCACTGTAGATTATGCATGTATGAACATCATTGACACATCCAGCTGAAAGTGGGAGGGTTTAAAAAAAGACTTACTAGTCGCCAAAGTTCCGGAGCGTGTCTTTAAAACCAGCATCTAAAGATATGAGAATCCCTTGTAAAAAAAAAAAAAAAAAAAACACCTGGATGGTAATGTCACCAGCCTAGTATATGGAGACCGACAGATTATTGGTATGCTTGATGCTTCCTCTAGCAAACGGTCACTGGTGCCAACTCACACTGGCTTGATAAACCTTGGAAAGTACAATAATATAAAAAACATTGTCAAACAGTGGAAATCGATTTTTCTAGATATTTAGAAAATTGAAGTGGAGTAAAACAAATATCAAATGGAACAGCAGCACTTAAATAAATACAATATAAAACACATGCAGAGAACAAGCTACTGCTCTATTGGCATACATCTTCAGAGAAGGTTTGAGTCTAAATAATATAAAAAGGAACAGTGAGGCAGATTGAATAGTGTCAATCAAAATGGTACATGTAAATCAGTGCATTCAATACTGCACAAAAGTATGAAACACTTTGATTAAAATGAAAAAAAAATGTTCTGTATAATGCATAAACGGTGCATTGCAACAAAAGTACATAATGAACCAAATGAGAAAAACATGACCATTGTGTACATCAGGGGTGGCCAATCATTTTGGCTCGAGGGCCACATCAGCGTTTAAAAATTCAACTTTGGGCCACACAGATTAATTTTTTCGGACCGATTTGTTCGTCAAAAGCAATTTAGAGGCCAGAAAAAAAGGCAGTTATTTTAAAATATATAGGTCCATTATAATTTCTACATACTTTCTATCTAGTTTTAGATTTTCAAGAGTGGCCTGGAGTGTCTTTTTAACCCAAAATAATAATTCTTCATGGAAAGAGAACACCTGCTCTTTCCATGACAGACTGACCAGGTGAATCCAGGTGAAAGCTATGGTCCCTTATTGATGTCACCTGTTAAATCCACTTCAATCAGTGTTGATGAAAGGGAGGAGCCAGGTTAAAGAAGGATTTCTAAGCCTTGCGACAACTGAGACATGGATTGTGTATGTGTGCCATTCAGAGGGTGAATTAGCAAGAGAAAATATGTAAGTGCCTTTGAACGGGGTATGGTAGTAGGTGCCAGGCGCACCGGTTTGAGTGTGTCAAGAACTGCAACGCTGCTGGGTTTTTCACGCTCAACAGTTTTCCATGTGTATCAAGAATGGTCCACCACCTAAAGGACATCCAGCCAACTTGACAGAACTGTAAGAAGCATTGGAGTCAACATGGGCCAGCATCCCTATGGAACTCTTGACACCTTGCAGAGTCCATGCCCCGATGAATTGAGGCTGTTCTGAGGGCAAAAGGGTTGCAACTCAATATTAGGAAGGTGTTCCTAATGTTTTATTCACTCAGTGTATATATTTGTTTTTACTCAAACCTCTCCGGATCCTTGGCCCACCCCGGTGTACATTCACTGCATGTTCATTTGCAGAAAGAACCAAAAAAATACTTCAATATCTTAGCAAAGACAAACGAAAATAAATGTATTTCCAGTAGAGCCGAGAGTCCTGTTGAAAATCCTGTTTTGGAAAACATTCTTGCTTCGGCAGCACAAGAGCCATTCAATGAGTACCAGGGCAACAGTCACTTTTAAAATGTCTTATGCCATTTCCAATGTGGGTTGTACAACACTTTCTCCATGGCGATAACGCCACCCTTGCCAGTTCCTTATTCTAACGAGTGTCCTAGCTAGCCAGTGCATACAGTGCAGTCTTCGTCCACCTGCTGTTTGTCCACTAGCTGAGTTTCTGCAGTAGTTTCTCCTCTACTAGTCCAAACTGTACACTCACTGACATCTCAGCAATGAACTGCTCGCAGCCCTCTTTGGTCACCTGCTTGCAGTAGCGCAAGTCAATATGACAGATGCTTCCACAGCGCTTGAAGTAGGTCAGCGACTGGTCCGTGACTCTGTTGCACACTGCAGAGATTAGGGAGGGAGGAGGAACATACAGTATGAGGTTGATGTAATATGAGACCATTCATCATCTTCAGTTAATACACAGACAGATAGGCGCCTCCTATATACTTGATCATACCAGTCATTTGTTTTCTAGGATAAAGGCTCCAACCAAAACCTCACCATAGTCATGAGCATATCGAGTACAGTCAATAGGTGACGGCTTCCCCCATTAACAAGCTTTCATTGGGTTCCATCGGTGAGTGACTGACAGTGGATATTAAGACATCAGTGATGCCAGAGAGCTCATTAGTCTGCCTGCCACACGGTTCCCCCTGTCTGTCTGTCCCACATTGACCCAACCTTTAACAGCACTACTCAGGGAGAGGAGAACCATGGGGGTACTTCAGTTATGGTGTTTGGAATGGAGCCTAGTTTTACTCCACACCATGGCTCCAACTGTGCATAGACACAATTAAAGCTATTTATACTTTATACTGGCATCCATGGGGTCTTTATATGACTTTATGAGGCGTACATTCATCTCAGTAGGGAACATTTGTCGTCATTCATTCCTAACATCAAGGCGGTGACCCGATCCTGTAGGTTCATGCTCTACAACATTCGGAGAGTACGACCCTGCCTTACACAGGAAGCGGCACAGGTCCTAATCCAGGCACTTGTCATCTCCCGTCTGGATTACTGCAACTCGCTGTTGGCTGGGCTCCCTGCCTGTGCCATTAAACCCCTACAACTCATCCAGAATGCCGCAGCCCGTCTGGTGTTCAACCTTCCCAAGTTCTCTCACGTCACCCCGCTCCTCCGCACACTCCACTGGCTTCCAGTTGAAGCTCGCATCTGCTACACGACCATGGTGCTTGCCTACGGAGCTGTGAGGAGAACGGCACCTCCGTACCTTCAGGCTCTGATCAGTCCCTACACCCAAACGAGCACCTATTTGTAAGTCGCTCTGGATAAGAGCGTCTGCTAAATGACGTAAATGTAAATGTAATTCAATAAGACCTATGAAGCAATGAATTAATGTTACAATGAGCAGACAATAGCCATGTCTGGATTCTCACCAGTATGTTCTAAATAGTGAATAGTACTGTTAGCAGTGAATACATTCTGACATAGCCAATGTCTATAGTGATAGTAGATATTGTGACATGGCCTTGTATGCTCCTACCGGAGAGGTTGACGTCGGTGAGCGAGTCTCTGGTGGAGGTCCCTGCAGCGGTCAGGATGTTGACTGACTGGTCAGTGACGTGGTTGCAGTAGCTCAGGTCCAGTCTGGTCAGCTGGGGCATGTATCGGATGAGGAGGCGCAGGGAGGTGTCCGTGATGTCCAGCCCGGCCAGACGCAGGTCCATCACGTTTCGCAGTTTACTCCTGTTGTCCAGCTGACCTAGGGAGGGAGAGAGAGACAAAGATTGAATGCATGTCAAGTTATTTTTTAAACCTTTCTTACTTCTACTAGGAGCAGAATCGAATGCAAGCGTTTCCAGCTGTGTGGCCTATAAAGACCGACACAAAGGGTCACCAAAGAGCACACTCAAGACCTGACATGGATGGGCTGCAGCAGCCTGACTGGACTGCAAAACAGATTGATATACTGCTCAATACTTCACACCACATGTCCAAATGGTCACTAACACAGTGCAGGATGGCGAGAACCTACCTGGTCTGTTGTCTGTGGGGGGTGAGAGCAGATCCCTCATCTGGGCGTCTTTGAGCCCCTCTACCCACTGGACATCCAGGGTGCGCAGCAGCGGGCAGCTGGCAGTGCAGAGGGCAGACACAGCCACCCAGGAGCAACCTGAGAGCAGCAGCATCCGCAGACCTGCAGGAACAACAAAACTCAACGACATCACTCACACTCTCTCTCAATTCCTACTAAACACACCCTAGCACTGTCAAAATGACAGAAACCAAACGCTATATTCATATTACAGAATTGGTGCTGCCTCCCTCGGACTAAGTCAGTCCTAACTAAGTAACTCGAAAACGTGTAACATTATCTGCTGCCCCTTTCAATCCTTTGAGGGGAAAAACAATCTTAATAGTCTCCAACAGTTCATTAACCTGAGGGTGCAAAAACAAGCAAACAAAAACCATCACTATGTAAATGTATTACAGTCGCTGCATAATTAATCCTGAGAAGAAACCGATAAGAAACAAAACAAATCCTCAGAAACACTCAGGAACCCCTGGGGATACAATTATTATGGAGCAGAGTCACAGACATAATGCAGCATTCTCTGAAACTTCCAGCTCACCCAACCAAGGAAACAAAGAGAGCGTTACATTATCCCCAAACATTACATTGTTACATTATCCCCAAACTAGTCACATTAAATACGTTCTTATCAATGCTCTCAGTACAGAGAAGCCCAGTAACAGGCTGCAGTGGTGACACCAGGTTTGCAGTGTGTACCCAGAGCCATGGACAGAGACACAGTATAATGGCTCGGTGTATACTGTACATACCTATACAGTTCAGACCGTTCTATTATAAAGGCACAGAGGGATATGCACATTGCCTCAGTTACAACACTGCTGGCTGGTGTTTACCTGGCAGCCTGTTGATGAGCCAGCTGAGTTGCTTCTTGGAGATGTTGGTCCAGCTGAGGTCCAGAGCCACAGGCTGTCTGCGGATGATGCCACTCAGCATTAGGGGAGTGATGGATTTACAGCGGTTCAGATCGATCCGCGTCCACAGTCTCTTATCACAGCACCTGCGGAGGCAGGGACGAAGGTAACTACATGATCACACAGCCACCATAGCTACAACTGTGGAAAGACTACACTGAGGTGAGAGCTCTAGGCAAGCTACGAGCCTTACAGCTTAGTGTTCATACTGTCTTTCCAATGAACAAGGACCACTTTGAAAAACACAACCCACTAATCACAAGACTGATTTGTCCAACTTGGTATCAAACCCTTTGGTCTATCAGGCCGTGTCTAGACTTGACAGTTCATGCAGCTTTAGTATTCTGATAATGGAGTTCTGATCATGGAATTCCGAACACGTCATTAGTCTACATTTACATTTAAATGTGTCCACCATGTACACATTGTGTCCGTTCCCACACTATAATCAAATGCCAGAATACATTCTACAAACGGTGGAATATCAAAATATGATAATAACAACAACTAATGGCAGTAGCTAACTACTGTAGCTAACTACTGTAGCTAAGTAGCCAGCTAACCTCTGTAGCTAGCAAGCAATGCTGAAGGGATTGCATAACACTAACCAAACAAAAGCATTTGAGGCCAGCAAACACGATCCCCACACGCAAGGAACGTATTTGAAAAAGTGCCTCTTGGTCCCAAAACACAAGTTGGGTGCCTGATCGCATTCAGACTAGACCCATCTTTTCAATGCAATCTTTGTATTCTGATAGCAGAAGTCGCATGTAAGTGTCAAGTGTAGACATGACCTCCGATAGCTACAGCTCACCATCTGTTCCAGGTCTTGCAGATGCGCATGCAGACACACAGGTCTCTGTGTGCGAGGTGGCTGAACACGACCATCCACAACTCCCTGCGCATCACGTGGGCCTGTCCGTCATCCAGGGGAAGTCTGTCTGGCGGGGGGCTGATGGGAGGCGGCCGGATCACGTGACGCTCCATCTGTACACACTTGGGCGGTGAGCGGCAGGGAGGGGGGCGTGGGCAAATGGGCGTGATCGGAGGGCTCCGGTTCCACCCCAGGGGCGAGAGCTGGCGGGGTGTCCCGTTCACCTCCCGCCCCCTGGGGTGGAGCCAGTCTCCGAGGTCACTGCTGCCGTTGTCGAGTGGCCGCTTGGGCTTAGGCTCCTCCCCATCACTCTCAGGCTCGGTCTTCATTGGCCTGTGGTTCTGATTGGCCAAGCAGTCCTCGGTCTTCAATGGTCGACGGTTGTGATTGGATAGGCCATCCTCAGTCTTAATTGGCCTGCGGTTATGATTGGTGGGGGAGTCCTCTGTTTTTAGTGGTCTGCGGTTCTGATTGGTCGAGGAGTCCTCAGTCTTCAGTGGTCGACGGTTGTTATTGGTTGGGCTGTTCTCCTTCTTCAGTGGTCTGCGGTTCTGATTGGCCAAGCAGTCCTCTGTCTTCTGGATCTCCAGGTTGAGCTCTTTGCTCAGCTCCTTGCTCAGCTCTTTGTTGGGGAGGCGGCGTCGCTGGTGTGCCTTCAGCTGGCCAAGTGTCTTCTCTGGGGCATCACCCCCCTCACTGCTGGGCCCTGCCCGGGGAGAGCTGGAGCAGGACTGGTCACTCTCTCTGGCTGCAGACGTCCGTAGCAGTGGACTCAGCATAGTCTTTACTTTACCGTCTTTCCTGTCCTCTACACCACCATCTTTCTCCTCTTCTTCCTCCTCCTTATCTTCATCCTCTTCTTCTCTTTTCCCTTTAGCTGCAACCCTGTCCCCTGTGTATCTGTCCTCCTCTTCATGGTCTTCGTCCTCATCAACTCTCTCTTGCTTGATGGGCCGTAACAGCTTGGGAGTGAAGGTGTCATCAGGTTTTGGGGGCTTCTTCTGTAAGGGAACATGGGGAGTATATGAATTACTCTGACATTCATTTGTTACAGTTTGAATTTGCATTTTTATAAGATCTTATTTATCATATATCTTTCTCCAAATAGTTTTATAAGATCTTATTTATCAAATATTTTTCTCAAAATAGTGTTTGACAAGTAAGTGGACTACGATTCTCAAATCAAAAGGGTTACTGTTTGGTAATAGAATCTTGACAAAATAAACTCTGGGCCTTATCTAATTGGTTTCTTATCAAATCAAGAGGAATGCTCAGTACAGACAGACACTTCAATATAAACTGAATTATCCATGGTCAGCCTAAAGCCTGTTGGATAAATTACCTTTTTCTTGACAACAGGAGGCTCGTCCTCATCTTTAATGTCGAACAGCTTCCTCTTCTTCCTCAGAGGGTTGTCCTCAGGCCTGGGTCGAGGATGGGGTAGCCCGCCCAGAGACAACATGGGAGAACGTTTCTTCAGAGGAGGATATTCCTCTGCTTTCCTCTTGGGGGTGTCATCCCGCTCTGCCTTCCTCTTCACTGCAGTGGGTGACGTTGGCACACTGGGCGGGTCGGACTCTTCCTTGATGTCACGGTTCAATCGCGAGTCCTTCAGTAGCGACCCGGGAAGGTTGGACGCGTACTTGAACCCTGGTCCTCTTTTTTGCTTGACAGCCAAAAGGGAAGAAACAAGGGAAGACAACTTTATACCTTTTGCCTATTTGTTTTCTGGACACTTAATTCAAAATAATTTTTACAATAAATGTGATTTATTGAACAGTGCAGAGCCTAGATATTCTGCCAAGAACATTCATTTCCACACCCACGTAGATGCTTACTTTCCCAGTCTTCCCTGCATGGTTGCATTTTGGACACTCCCAGCAGTTTGGCAACTCTTCATTTACAACTCCACCAGAATTTTTAACCTGAACAAGACAGCACAGGTAGTGAGTGGGTGAAGGCGATAGTAAGCACAAGTAAAAGTGATACAGTTTGAAGCAAAGCTATCATTTATCATTTGCAGCATAAGTCCTTTATAGCAGGGGTAGGCAACTAGATTAATCTGCGGGTCGATTTTTGTCGGAGCGGATGGTCGGGGGGGGGGTCGGAACATAATTATAATTTGTACACTGCAAATTGACCACAACTTAGCCCCCCAATTTTTTAGCTGCGAGCAGCATTGAATGGGGTTCACAGGATGACAAAAGGAACACCAGATCAGTTGGATAACAAAGCAAGCACTATCATGTAGGAACTACTGTATCTTCCTTCATGTGTACAAAATACTAAATCATTAGCGTTACATATGCAAAGTAGTTAATATTTTTAATGTTTTTTTAGATATCAATACCAAATTCAGTGTGGTACATTTTAGGGATGTTCATGATAATGACAATTTCAAGTCGATAGGCCACTGTGAAATGTGGATTTACAGTGAGTTAATTGAACACTTAAAATATATATATATATATTTTTTTGTCTTTTTTTGTCAATAGCCATCTTTTGACAATCAGGACCAAATTTGAACCATAGGACCAAATTTGGATTAATGAGAATAAATGTTTTAAGAGTATTTTGGCATATTTTAACATACAGTGAGGGAAAAAAGTATTTGATCCCCTGCTGATTTTGTACGTTTGCCCACTGACAAAGAAATTATTAGTCTATAATTTTAATGGTAGGTTTATTTGAACAGTGAGAGACAGAATAACAACAACAAAATCCAGAAAAACAAATGTCAGAAATGTTATAAATTGATTTGCATTTTAATGAGGGAAATAAGTATTTGACCCCCTCTCAATCAGAAAGATTTCTGGCTCCCAGGTGTCTTTTATACAGGTAACGAGCTGAGATTAGGAGCACTCTTAAAGGGAGTGCTCCTAATCTCAGTTTGTTACCTGTATAAAAGACACCTGTCCACAGAAGCAATCAATCAATCAGATTCCAAACTCTCCACCATGGCCAAGACCAAAGAGCTCTCCAAGGATGTCAGGGACAAGATTGTAGACCTACACAAGGCTGGAATGGGCTACAAGACCATCGCCAAGCAGCTTGGTGAGAAGGTGACAACAGTTGGTGCGATTATTCGCAAATGGAAGAAACACAAAAGAACTGTCAATCTCCCTCGGCCTGGGGCTCCATGCAAGATCTCACCACGTGGAGTTGCAATGATCATGAGAACGGTGAGGAATCAGCCCAGAACTACACGGGAGGATCTTGTCAATGATCTCATGGCAGCTGGGACTATAGTCACCAAGAAAACAATTGGTAACACACTACGCCGTGAAGGACTGAAATCATGCAGCGCCCGCAAGGTCCCCCTGCTCAAGAAAGCACATATACAGGCCCGTCTGAAGTTTGCCAATGAACATCTGAATGATTCAGAGGAGAACTGGGTGAAAGTGTTGTGGTCAGATGAGACCAAAATCGAGCTCTTTGGCATCAACTCAACTCGCAGTGTTTGGAGGAGGAGGAATGCTGCTTATGACCCCAAGAACACCATCCCCACCGTCAAACATGGAGGTGGAAACATTATGCTTTGGGGGTGTTTTTCTGCTAAGGGGACAGGACAACTTCACCGCATCAAAGGGACGATGGACGGGGCCATGTACCGTCAAATCTTGGGTGAGAACCTCCTTCCCTCAGCCAGGGCATTGAAAATGGGTCGTGGATGGATATTCCAGCATGACAATGACCCAAAACACAAGGCCAAGGCAACAAAGGAGTGGCTTAAGAACAAGCACATTAAGGTCCTGGAGTGGCCTAGCCAGTCTCCAGACCTTAATCCCATAGAAAATCTGTGGAGGGAGCTGAAGGTTCGAGTTGCCAAACGTCAATCTCGAAACTTTAATGACTTGGAGAAGATCTGCAAAGAGGAGTGGGACAAAATCCCTCCTGAGATGTGTACAAACCTGGTGGCCAACTACAAGAAACGTCTGACCTCTGTGATTGCCAACAAGGGTTTTGCCACCAAGTACTAAGTCATGTTTTGCAGAGGGGTCAAATACTTATTTCTCTCATTAAAATGCAAATCAATTTATAACATTTCTGACATGAGTTTTTCTGGATTTTATTGTTGTTATTCTGTCTCTCACTGTTCAAATAAACATACCATTAAAATTATAGACTGATCATTTCTTTGTCAGTGGGCAAACGTACAAAATCAGCAGGGGATCAAATACTTTTTTCCCTCACTGTATGTGCTAATATGCATCTACTGGCCAACATTGATTGCATAAAGGTTATTTTCTTAAACTCTTTAGGGACCATTGTGATGAGTCCAACAACCAAATTTGGAGTGAATCTAACTTTTAGTCCATGAGAAGATTTTTTATGATTATTTTAAGCAGTAGCGTTACATAGTCAAAAAAGTGAATCGTTAATAGTTTCCTTATTTGTTAAGATATCAATGCCAAACTTAACATGGTTCATCAATGTAATGTCTTTGATGACGTTACATTGGATTTACAAAGTGGATTTACAAAAGGATTTAAATTGACACATAAAATCTGATTTCCTGATTTATCAATAACTCAGCCATCTCTTAACTAATCCCTTAGCTTTTCTCAAACTAAGGTAAGAGATGTACCATGGGCCTACATGCCGACTTATGGTTCATGAGAATAAGTTTTTCCAAAATGTCAAGATGGAGGAAAATCTATCCTGATGGACCTTATCGGTCCTTGAGGCAAATGTATTCAGCGTGAGTAAAGACACATACAGTGCATTCGGAAAGTATTCAAACCCCTTGACTTTTTCCACGTTGTTACATTACAGCCTTATTCTAAAATGGCTTAAATAGTATTTTTTCCTTATCAATCTACACACAATACTCGATAATGTCAAGCCCAAAATAGATTTGTAGAATCTTTGCAAATGTATTAAAAATAAAAACAGAAATACCTTATTTATATAAGTATTCAGACCCTTTGCTATGAGACTCGAAATTGAGCTCAGGTGCATCCTGTTCCCATTGATCATCCTTGAGATGTTTCTACAACTTGATTGGAGTCCATCTGTGGTATATTCAATTGATTGGACATGACATGGAAAGGCACACACCTGTCTATATAAGGTCCCACAGTTGACAGTGCATGTCAGAGCAAAAACCAAGCCATGAGGTTGAAGGAATTGTCCGTAGAGCTCTGAGACAGAATTGTGTCGAGGCACAAATCTGGAGAAGGGTACCAAAACATTTCTGCAGCATTGAAGGTTCAAGAACACAGTTGCCTCCATTCTTAAATGGAAGAAGTTTGGAATCAACAAGACTCTTCCTAGAGCTGTTCGCCTGGCCAAACTGAGCAATTGGGGGAGAAGGGCCTTGGTCAGTGAGGAGACCAAGATGGTCACTCTGACAGAGCTCCAGAGTTCCTCTGTGGAGATGGGAGAACCTTCCAGAAGGACAACCATCTCTGCAGCACTCCATCAATCAGGCCTTTATGGTAAAGTGGCCAGACGGAAGTCACTCCTCAGTAAAAAGGCACATGACAGCCCGCTTGGAGTTTGCCAAAAGGCACCTAAAGGACTCTTAGACCATGAGAAACAAGATCCTCTGGTCTGATGAAACCAAGATTGAACTCTTTGGCCTGAATGCCAAGCGTCACATCTGGAGGAAACCTGGCACCATCCTTACGGTGAAGCATGGTGGTGGCAGCATCATGCTGTGGGGATGTTTTTCAGGACTGGGAGACTAGTCATGATCGAGGGAAAGATGAACAGAGCAAAGTACAGAGAGACATCAGACTGGGGCGCAGGTTCACCTTCCAACAGGACAATGACTCTACACATACAGCCAAGACAATGCAGGAGTGGCTTCAGGACAAGTCTCAATGTCCTTGAGTGGCCCAGCCAGAGCCCGGACTTGAACCCGATCGAACATCTCTGGAGAGACCTGAAAATAGCTGTGCAGCTACACTCCCCATCCAACCTGACAGAGCTTGAGAGGATCTGCAGTGAAGAATGGGAGAAACTCCCCAAATACAGGTATGCTAAGCTTGTAGCATCATACCCAAGAAAACTCAAGGCTGTAATCACCGCCAAAGGTGCTTCAACAATTTACTGAGTAAAGGGTCTGAATACTTACACTACCATTCAAACGTTTGGGGTCCTTGTTTTCAAAAGAAAAGCAATTTATTTGTCCATTAAAATAACATCAAATTGATCAGAAATACAGTGTAGACATTGTTAATGTTGTAAATGGCTATTATAGCTGGAAATGGCAGATTTTTTATGGAATATCTACATAGGCGTACAGAGGCCCATTATCAGCAACCATCAGTCCTGTGTTCCAATGGCACGTTGTGTTTGCTAATCCAAGTTTATCACTTAAAAAACGCTAATTAATCATTAGAAAACCCTTTTGCAAATATGTTAGCACAGCTGAAAACTGTTGTGCTGATTAAAGAAGCAATAAAACTGGCCTTCTTGAGACTAGTTGAGTATCTGGAGCATCAGCAATTGTGGGTTCGATTACAGAATCAAAATGGCCAGAAACAAATAACTTTCTTCTGAAACCTGTCAGTCTATTCTTGTTCTGAGAAATGAAGGCTATTCCATGCAAGAAATTGCCAAGAAACTGAAGATCTCGTACAACGCTGTGTACTACTCCCTTCACAGAACAGCGCAAACTGGCTCTAACCAGAATAGAAAGAGGAGTGGGAGGCCCCGGTGCACAACTGAGCAAGAGGACAAATACATTAGTATCTAGTTTGAGAAACAGGCGCCTCACATGTCCTCAACTGGCAGCTTAATTAAATAGTACCCGCAAAACACCAGTCTCAACATCAACAGTGAAGAGACGACTCCGGGATGCTGACCTTCTAGGCAAAGCCATATCTCAGACTGGCCAATAAAAATAAAAGATTAAGATGGGCAGTCTGAGATATGGCTTTTTCTTTGCAACTCTGCCTAGAAGGTCAGCATCCCAGAGTCGCCTCTTCACTGTTGACGTTGAGACTGGTGTTTTGCGGGTACTATTTAATGAAGCTGCCAGTTGAGGACCTGTGAGGCGACTGTTTCTCAAACTAGACACTATTGTATTTGTCCTCTTGCTCTGTTCTGCACCGGGGCCTCCCACTCCTCTTTCTATTCTGGTTAGAGCCAGTTTGCGCTGTTCTGTGAAGGGAGTAGTACACAGTGTTGTACGAGATCTTTAGTTTCTTGGCAATTTCTCGCATGGAATAGCCTTCATTTCTCAGAACAAGAATAGCCATTGGAACACAGGACTGATGGTTGCTGATAATGGGCCTATGTAGATATTCCATTAAAAATCAGCCGTTTCCAGCTACAATAGCCATTTACAACATTAACAATGTCTACACTGTATTTCTGATCAATTTGATGTTATTTTAAATGGACAAAAAATTGGCTTTTCTTTCGTAAACAAGGACATTTCTAAGTGACCCCAAACTTTTGAACGGTAGTGTATGTAAATGTAATATTTCAGTTTTTTATTTGTAATAAATTAGCAAACATTTCTAGAAACCTGTTTTTGCTTTGTCATTATGGGGTATTGTATGTAGATTGAAAAAACCCCCCAAAAAAACAGTTTTAGAATAAGGCTGTAAAGTAACAAAATGTGGAAAAAGTCAAGGGGTCTGAATACTTTCCGAATGCACAGGTTCAAGTCTCTAGGTCAAACGGAGCAGCGGATATCGGGGTGTAAGTGAGACTGCTTATAACTGTGCCACCCAATCGGTGCCATTCTACTCATGGCCTCTTGTTTCTGTGTGCCAAATTAGAAAAAAAAGTTACTAATCTATGCTCAAGTTATTTGACCATGTCATGAAAAATATATATAATCTAAGAATAACAATAGGTTTCACAGCTTTGCTGTGAACCCCTAATAACAATAATTTCATACCATGATTACACGTATGTCAGTTTATTTTTATTTGTGGGAATACTTGGGAACAGATTTCCTAAATTAAACTCATTTTTTGGTGAATTCCTGATGACTTTACATTCTTTTTTGACCAAAAACATAAATCCTAAAAAAAAATTATATTTTTTTTGGGGGGTGGGGACAAAACCAAACCACTCTCGGTCGCCTGTTGCCGACCCCTGTTCTATAGGAGGAAGGGCAACCATAAACAAATACACTGCAGTAATGTAAGTGCTCACATTGAATCAAATCAGACAGATATAAGATGCTCAGTAACAGCATAATGTATTGAGCAGTTTACCTTGAGGCAGAGTGGATGGACTATCTCATTGCAGATGGAGCACTCCATGAGCATGAGGTTAAACTTGTCCTCCTCTTCCTCCACCGTGTCCTCCTTCCCTGCCTCCCCACACACCAGACACACTGCGGTGTGGGGCAGGACAGGCTGGAGACAACACAAACACTACATTAGCATATTATAAATCATAATCATATTATATGCCATTTAGCAGACGCTTTTATCCAAAGCGACTTACAGTCATGCGTGCATACATTTTTATGTATGGGTGGTCCCGGGGATCGAACCCACTACCCGGGCGTTACAAGCGCCATGCTCTACCAATTGAGCTACAGAGGACCACAAACTCACTCTCTGTACATAGTCACCAGATAAAATGTCCACACACAAACAAAGAATGTCCAAATACTCTGCAGGTTAGTTTTAGTTTAAGATTAATAGGAGACCTACCGCGATACACTGCCTCATGATGCAGGATTGTTTCATACGACCCGGCCCTCCAAACTTCTTCATGTCTTTACAGAAGTGGCATTCTCCACACTCTGTCCTCAGGCACGCCTCACACTTCCGACAGCGCGTCCTCCTCCGCCGGGCGCCAGACGTGCTCCGGCTGGCCGACAGCTTGACCGCCGCCACAGGAGACGAGGCCGCCATTTTGGGTTTGGGCCTGTTGGGAGGTCTCTGCTGCTGAAAGGAGAAGAGGGAGAGGTAGGAGAGTGAGGTGTCGTTATAGTACAACAACACAAAACGTGAAAGCAAGGTCTGATACAGAGACAGATGGATCTGGGCCTATATTCACAACGCGTCTCAGAGTAGGAGTGCTGATCTAGGATCAGGTCCATATACTCTTGTTCATTATGATCTAAAAGGCTGACCTTAGATCAGCACTCCTACGCTGAGAGGCTTTGTAAATACGGGATCAGGTCTGCAGGGTGTTGCAGTATTTGCTATAATATTGACCCCTGAATTCGCAGCTGATTAGGGAAACCAGGTGAATTGACTCATCTAATCAATCCCAGCAGTTGACCAATTCAGTTCTGAGTCACAAGAAGCAGAGCCTTTATTATGACCTGTGATACCCAGTTCGCTGGTCTAACCATCTACTACGGAAAACACAGAACCATGGACCGCACTCAAGTGAGAACATGCAATTTTTCTAACTCAAATCATCAGTACTCGAACATCTTAGAAGCTTGGTTTGAAAGTGTTTCCATGTTTCCCTAGCAACATTGTATGCCAAAACATGAACCACTAACAGTTTTACGTAACAGGGAGAAGGCATAAGTTTAAATGTGCTGTAAAATTAAATTGAAGGCAGTGAGAGATGGGGAGGGGAGGGGGGCTGCTTTGATGTGGAGCATTTTCCATTATTGAGTTATTTCTTCCTGACATAGTTTATTTTTCCCTCTGTTATTTCTGGCCCTGAGTCAACGCTGAGACAACATTGAATGTGCTGCTCATAAAACACACGCACGCAACGCACGTGCACACAGGTTACATTCTTTTTTTCTGGATCAAAAAGGGGCTTAGGTGGTGGGTGTGGCAGGGGGGCATGGCAATAGGCATGGTCGGCCCATCGGCGCAGCTGAATTCGGTCCGGACCAGTCCATGGCCAAGAACATTTTAGAGGCCCCCAATCTTAGCGGTGTAGAAAAATGTTTGCATTTTAAGCCAATTTCCTGCAATTCTACACATTTCTCCATGGAGCTGAGAGAAAATGTTGCAGTTTTAAAAGCTAATTTCCTGCGATTCTATGCATTTTGACATGGCTAATGCTGTGTTAAGCTCAAACATAATAACAAAATAAATACTCCTGAGTTCATAGTTTGTTTTATTTTCAATTCTCCCTGACTGTCTAGCTTTAATTTAGGTGAGTTAGTTCACAAAGATGATATTCTAATATATATATATATATATATATATATATATATATATATATATATATATATATATATACACACAGTGGGGAGAACAAGTATTTGATACACTGCCGATTTTGCAGGTTTTCCTACTTACAAAGCATGTAGAGGTCTGTAATTTTTATCATAGGTACACTTCAACTCTGAGAGACGGAATCTAAAACAAAAATCCAGAAAATCACATTTTATGATTTTTAAGTAATTAATTTGCATTTTATTGGATGACATAATTATTTGATACATCAGAAAAGCAGAACTTAATATTTGATACAGAAACCTTTGTTTGCAATTACAGAGATCATACGTTTTCTGTAGGTCTTGACCAGGTTTGCAAACACTGCAGCAGGGATTTTGGCCCACTCCTCCATACAGACCATCTCCAGATCCTTCAGGTTTCGGGGATGTCGCTGGGCAATACGGACTTTCAGTTCCCTCCAAAGATTTTCTATTGGGTTCAGGTCTGGAGACTGGCTAGGTCACTCCAGGACCTTGAGATTCTTCTTACGGAGCCACTCCTTAGTTGCCCTGGCTGTGTGTTTCGGGTCGTTGTCATGCTGGAAGACCCAGCCATGACCCATCTTCAATGCTCTTACTGAGGGAAGGAGGTTGTTGGCCAAGATCTTGCGATACATGGCCCCATCCATCCTCCCCTCAATACGGTGCAGTCGTCCTGTCCCCTTTGCAGAAAAGCATCCCCAAAGAATGATGTTTCCACCTCCATGCTTCACGGTTGGATGGTGTTCTTGGGGTTGTACTCATTCTTCTTCTTCCTCCAAACACGGCGAGTGGAGTTTAGACCAAAAAGCTCTATTTATGTCTCATCAGACCACGTGACCTTCTCCCATTCCTCCTCTGGATCATCCAGATGGTCATTGGCAAACTTCAGACGGGCCTGGACATGCGCTGGCTTGAGCAGGGGGACCTTGCGTGCACTGCAGGATTTTAATCCATGACGGCGTAGTGTGTTACTAATGGTTTTCTTTGAGACTGTGGTCCCAGCTCTCTTAAGGTCATTGACCAGGTCCTACCGTGTAGTTCTGGGCTGATCCCTCACCTTCCTCATGATCATTGATGCCCCACGAGGTGAGATCTTGCATGGAGCCCCAGACCGAGGTTGATTGACCGTCATCTTGAACTTCTTCCATTTTCTAATAATTGCGCCAACAGTTGTTGCCTTCTCACCAAGCTGCTTGCCTATTGTCCTGTAGCCCATCCCAGCCTTGTGCAGGTCTACAATTTTATCCCTGATGTCCTTACACAGCTCTCTGGTCTTGGCCATTGTGGAGAGGTTGGAGTCTGTTTGATTGAGTGTGTGGACAGGTGTCTTTTATACAGGTAACGAGTTCAAACAGGTGCAGTTAATACAGGTAATGAGTGGAGAACAGGAGGGCTTCTTAAAGAAAAACTTACAGGACTGTGAGAGCTGGAATTCTTACTGGTTGGTAGGTGATCAAATACTTATGTCATGCAATAAAATGCAAATTAATTTCTTAAAAATCATACAATGTGATTTTCTGGATTTTTGTTTTAGATTCCGTCTCTCACAGTTGAAGTGTACATATGATAAAAATTACAGACCTCTACATGCTTTGTAAGTAGGAAAACCTGCAAAATCGGCAGTGTATCAAATACTTGTTCTCCCCACTGTATATATATATATATATATATATATATATATATGCTCAAAAAAATTAAGGGAACACTTAAACAACACAATGTAACTCCAAGTCAATCACACTTCTGTGAAATCAAACTGTCCACTTAGGAAGCAACACTGATTGACAATACATTTCACATGCTGTTGTGCAAATGGAATAGACAACAGGTGGAAATTATAGGCAATTAGCAAGACACCCCCAATAAAGAAGTGGTTCTGCAGGTGGTGACCACAGACCACTTCTCAATTCCTATGCTTCCTGGCTGATGTTTTGGTCACTTTTGAATGCTGGCGGTGCTTTCACTCTAGTGGTAGCATGAGACAGAGTCTACAACCCACACAAGTGGCTCAGGTAGTGCAGCTCATCCAGGATGGCACATCAATGCGAGCTGTGGCAAGAAGGTTTGCTGTGTCTGTCAGCGTAGTGTCCAGAGCATGGAAGCGCTACCAGGAGACAGGCCAGTACATCAGGAGACGTGGAGGAGGCCGTAGGAGGGCAACAACCCAGCAGCAGGACCGCTACCTCCGAGGAGCAGGAGGAGCACTGCCAGAGCCCTGCAAAATGACCTCCAGCAGGCCACAAATGTGCATGTGTCTGCTCAAACGGTCAGAAAAAGACTCCATGAGGGTGGTATGAGGGCCCGACGTCCACAGGTGGGGGTTGTGCTTACAGCCCAACACCGTGCAGGACGTTTGGCATTTGCCAGAGAACACCAAGATTGGCAAATTCGCCACTGGCGCCCTGTGCTCTTCACAGATGAAAGCAGGTTCACACTGAGCACATGTGACAGACGTGACAGAGTCTGGAGACGCCGTGGAGAACTTTCTGCTGCCTGCAACATCCTCCAGCATGACCGGTTTGGCGGTGAGTCAGTCATGGTGTGGGGTGGCATTTCTTTGGGGGGCCGCACAGCCCTCCATGTGCTCGCCAGGGGTAGCCTGACTGCCATTAGGTACCAAGATGAGATCCTCAGACCCCTTGTGAGACCATATGCTGGTGCAGTTGGCCCTGGGTTCCTCCTAATGCAAGACAATGCTAGACCTCATGTGGCTGGAGTGTGTCAGCAGTTCCTGCAAGAGGAAGGCATTTATGCTATGGACTGGCCCGCCCGTTCCCCAGACCTGAATCCAATTGAGCACATCTGGGACATCATGTCTCGCTCCATCCACCAACGCCACGTTGCACCACAGACTGTCCAGGAGTTGGCGGATGCTTTAGTCCAGGTCTGGGAGGAGATCCCTCAGGAGACCATCCGCCACCTCATCAGGAGCATGCCCAGGCATTGTAGGGAGGTCATACAGGCACGTGGAGGCCACACACACTACTGAGCCTCATTTTGACTTGTTTTAAGGGCATTACATCAAAGTTGGATCAGCCTGTAGTGTGGTTTTCCACTTTAATTTTGAGGGTGACTCCAAATCCAGACCTCCATGGGTTGATAAATTTGATTTCCATTGATAATTTTTGTGTGATTTTGTTGTCAGCACATTCAACTATGTAAAGAAAAAAGTATTTAATAAGATTATTTCATTCATTCAGATCTAGGATGTGTTGTTTAAGTGTTCCCTTTATTTTTTTGAGCAGTGTATATATATATATATATATATATATATATAGATAGATAGATGTTGCTTCAATATATCCACATCATTTTCCTTCCTCATTTGTGAAGTGCACCAGTCCCTCCTGCAGCAAAGCACCCCCACAGCATGATGCGGCCACCCCTGTGCTTCACGGTTGGGATGGTGTTCTTCGGCTTGCAAGACCCCCCTTTTTCTTCCAAACATAACGATGGTCATTATGGGCAAACAGTTCTATTTTTGTTTCATCAGACCAGAGGACATTTCTCCAAAAAGTATGATCTTTGTCCCCATGTGCAGTTGCAAACCGTAGTCTGGCTTTTTTATGGTGGTTTTGGAGCAATGGCTTCTTCCTTGCTGAGTGGCCTTTCAGGTTATTTAGATAAAGGACTTGTTTTACTGTGGATATAGATACTTTTGTACCTGTTTCTTCCAGCATCTTCACAAGGTCCTTTGCTGTTGTTCTGGGATTGATTTGCACTTTTGGAACCAAAGTACGTTCATCTCTAGGAGACAGAACACGTCTCCTTCCTGAGCGGTATGACGGCTGCGTGGTCCCATGGTGTTTATACTTGCGTACTATTGTTTGTACAGATGAACGTGGTACCTTCATGCGTTTGGAAATTGCTCCCAAGGATGAACTAGACTTGTCGAGGTCTACAATTTATATTCTGAGGTCTTGGCTGATTTCTTTTGATTTTCCTATGATGTCAAGCAAAGAGGTACTGAGTTTGAAGGTAAGCCTTGAAATACATCCACAGGTACACCTCCAATTTACTCAAATGATGTCAATTAGCCTATCAGAAGCTTCTAAAGCCATGACATCATTTTCTGGAATTTTCCAAGCTGTTTAAAGGCACCGTCAACTTAGTGTATGTAAACTTCTGACCCACTGGAATTGTGATACAGTGAATTATAAGTGAAATAATCTGTCTGTAAACAATTGTTGGAAAAATTACTTGTGTCATGCACAAAGTAGATGTCCTAACCGACTTGCCAAAACTATAGTTTGTTAACGAGAAATTTGTGGAGTGGTTGGAAAATGAGTTTTAATGACTCCAACCTAAGTGTATGTAAACTTCCGACTTCAACTGTATATATATATATATATATATATATATATATATATATATATATATATATATATATATATGCACACACACACACACACACACACACTACCAGTCAAAAGTTTGGACACACCTACTCATTCAAGGGTTTTTCTTTATTTTTACTATTTTCTACATTGTAGAATAATAGTGAAGACATCAAAACTATGAAATAACACATATGGAATCATGTAGTAACCAAAAAAAGTGTTAAACAAATCAAAATCTATTTTATATTTGAGATTCTTTAATTAGACACCCTTTGCCTTGATGACAGCTTTGCACACTCTTGGCATTCTCTCAACCAGCTTCACCTGGAATGCTTTCCAAAAGTCTTGAAGGAGTTCCCACGTATGCTTAGCACTTGTTGGCTGCTTTTCCTTCACCTCTGCCTTCCGACTCATCCCAAACCATTTCCATTTCCATTGGGTTGAGGTCGGGGGATCGTGGAGGCCAGGTCATCTGATGCAGCACTCCATCACTCTCTCCTTCTTGGTAAAATAGCCCTTACACAGCCTGGAGGTGTGTTGGGTCATTGTCCTGTTGAAAAACAAATGATAGTCCCACCAAACCAGATGGGATGGCGTATCGCTGCCGAATGCTGTGGTAGCCATGCTGGTTAAGTGTGCCTTGAATTCTAAATAAATCACAGACAGTGTCACCAGCAAAGCACCCCCACACCATAACACCTCCTCCTTCATGCTTTACGGTGGGAACTACACATGCAGAGATCATCCGTTCACCTACACCGTGTCTCACAAAGACACGGCGGTTTGAACCAAAAATCTCAAATTTGGACTCCGGACAAAAGGGCAAATTTCCACCAGTCTAATGTCCATTGCTCGTATTTCTTGGCCCAAGCAGGTATCTTCTTATTATTGGTGTCCTTTAGTAGTGGTTTCTTTGCAGCAATTCGACCATGAAGGCCTGATTCACACAGTCCCCTCTGAACAGTTGATGTTGAGATGTGCCTGTTACTTGAACTCTGTGAAGCATTTATTTGGGCTGCAATTTCTGAAGCTGGTAACTCTAATGAACTTATCCTCTGCAGCAGAGGTAACTCTGGGTATTCCTTTCCTGTGGCGGTCCTCATGAGAGCCAGTTTCATCATAGCACTTGATGGTTTTTGCGACTGCACTTGAAGAAAGTTCTTGAAATGTTCCGTGTTGACTGACCTTCATGTCTTAAAGTAATGATGGACTCTCGTTTCTCTTTGCTTATTTGAGCTGTTCTTGCCATAATATGGACTTGGTCTTTTACCAAATAGGGCTATCTTCTGTATACCCCCCCCCCCTACCTTGTCACAATACAACTGATTAGCTCAAACACATTAAGGAAAGAAATTCCACAAATTAACTTTTAGGAATGCAATTGAAATGCATTCCAGGTGACTACCTCATGAAGCTGGTTGAGAGAATGCCAAGACTGTGCAAAGCTGTCATTAAGGCAAAGGGTGGCTACTTTGAAGAATCTCAAATATAACATATTTTGATTTGTTTAACACTTTTTTGGTTACTACATGATTCCATATGTGTTATTTCATAGTTTATGTCTTCACTATTATTCTACAATGTAAAAAATAGTAGAAATATAGAAAAACCCTTGGATGAGTAGGTGTGTCCAATACATTATATTTCAACTTAGGCGGGCCGAAAAACACTTAGGTGTACGCAAACAACAAGAACAGACAGGCTATGCCTGGTCACTAAAAGAGAGGACCCACGTGATATTAGCTACTGTAAACAAACACTCATATTTTCATCATATTCAAATCACACTAATATTCATGTTAATATTTTATTTTATTTGTTATACTATTTTGATATTGAATACTGCACTGTAGAGTAGGGCTTGCAAGTTAAGCATTTCACTGTACTTGTGCAAGTGACAAATAAAACTTGACACATCCCCTGAGGGTACTGTGATCTCATCTATATTAGGCAGACTACTGGAGGTTTGTTTCTCTACTGAACACAAATACAAACGCAACATGTAAAGTGTTGGTCCCATGTTTCATGAGCTGAAATAAAAAATCCAGAAAGGTTCCATACGCACAAAAAGCTTATTTCTCTCAAATTTTGTGCACAAATTTGTTTACATGCCTGTTAGTGAGCATTCCTCCTTAGCCAAGATAATCCACCCACCTGACAGGTGTGGCATATCAAGAAGCTGATTAAATAGTATGATCATTACACAGGTGCACCTTGAGCTGGGGACAATAAAAGGCCACTCTAAAATGTACAGTTTTGTCACACAACACAATGCCACAGCTATCTCAAGTTTTGCGAGAGCGTGCAATTGGCATGCTGACTGCAGGAATGTCCACCAGAACTGTTGCCAGATAATGTAATGTTAATTTCTCTACCATAAGCCAACTCCAACGTCGTTTTAGAGAATTTGGCAGTACATCCAACCTGCCTCACAACCGCAGACCATGTGTAACCACGCCAGCCAAGGACCTACACATCTGGCTTCTTTAGCTGCGGGATTGTCTGAGACCAGCAACCCGGACAGCTGACAAAACTGAGGAGTATTTGTCTGTAATAAAGCCCTTTTGTGGGGAAAAACTCAGTCTGAGTGGCTGGGCCTGGCTCCCCACTGGGTGGGCATATGCCCTCCCAGACCCACCCATGGCTGCGCCCCTGCCCAGTCATGTGAAATCCATAGATTAGGGCTTAATGAATTAAGATCACCATGCGCAATGCAATGCGTCGGCTGGAGTGGTGTAAAGCTCGCCGCCATTGGACTCTGGAGCAGTGGAAACGCGTTCTCTGGAGTGATGAATCACGCTTCACCATCTGGCAGTCTGACGGACGAATCTGGGTTTGGCGGATGCAAGGAGAACGCTACCTGCCCAAATGGATAGTGCCAACTGTAAAGTTTGGTGGAGGAGGAATAATGGTCTGGGGACGTTTTTCATGGTTCGGGCTAGGCCCCTTAGTTCCAGTGAAGGGAAATCTTAACGCTACAGCATACAATGACATTCTAGACGATTCTGTCCTTCCAACTTTGTGGCAAGAGTTTGGGGAAGACCAATTCCTGTTTCAGCATGACAATGCCCCAGTGCACAAAGCGAGGTACATACAGAAATGGTTTGTCGAGATCGGTGTGGAGGAACTTGACTAGCCTGCACAGAGCCCTGACCTCAACCCCATCGAACACCTTTGGGATGAATTGGAACGCCGACTGCGAGCCAGGCCTAATCGCCCAACATCAATTTCCAACCTCACTAATGCTCTTGTGGCTGAATGGAAGTATGTCCCAGCAGCAATGTTCCAACATCTAGTGGAAAGCCTTCCCAGAAGAGTGGAGGCGGTTATAGCAGCAAAGGGGGGACCAACTCCATATCAATGCCCATGATTTTGGAATGAGATGTTTGACGAGCAGGTGTCGACATACTTTTGGTCATGTAGTGTATATACACTGAACAAAAATATAAAAACGCAACATGCAACAATTTCAAAGGTTTTACTGAGTTACAGTTCCTGTAAGGAAATCAGTCACTTGAAATAAATTCATTAGGCCCTAATCTATGGATTTCAAATGACTGGGAATACAGATATGTATCTGTTGGTCACAGATACATAAAAAAAAAAGGTAGGGGTGTGGATCAGAAAACCAGTCAGTATCTGGTGTGACCACCATTTTCCTCATGCAGCGCAACACATCTCCTTCACATAGAGTTGATCCGACTGTTGATTGTGGAATGTTGTCCCACTCCTCTTCAATGGCTGTGCAAAGTTGCTGGATATTGGCGGGAACTGGAACACGTTGTCGTACACGTTGATCCAGAGCATTCCAAACATGCTCAATGGGTGACATGTCTGGTGAGTATGCAGGCCATGGAAGAACTGGGACATTTTCAGCTTCCAGGAATTGTGTACAGATCCTTGCGACATGGGGCCGTGCATTATCATGATGAAACATAAGGTGATGACGGCGGATGAATGGCACAACAATGGGCCTCAGGATCTCATCACGGTATCTCAGTGCACTCAAATTGCCATCGATAAAATGCAATTGTGTTCATTGTCCGTAGCTTATGCCTGCCTATACCATAACCCCACCGCCACCATGGGGCACTCTGTTCACAATGTTGACATCAGCAAACCGCTCGCCCACACAACACCATACACGTTGTCTGCGGTTGTGAGGCCAGTTGGACGTACTGCCAAATTCTCTAAAACAAAGTTGGAGGTGGCTTATGGTAGGAAATTAACATTACATTCTCTGGCAACAGCTCTGGTGGACATTCCTGCAGTCAGCATGCCAATTGCACACTCCCTTAAAACTTGAGACATCTGTGGCATTGTGTTGTTTGACAAAACTGCACATGAGTGGCCTTTTATTGTCCCCAGCACAAGGTGCACCTGTATAATGATCATGCTGTTTAATCAGCTTCTTGATATGCTACACCTGTCAGGTGGATGGATTGTCTTGGCAAAGGGGAAACGCTCACTAATAGGGATGTAAACAAATGTGTGCAGTATATTTGAGAGAAATAAGCTATTTGTGCGTATGGGATGAAGGCATAAGGCCGAAACGTATGCTCAGTTCATTTAATTTGTTTATTAGCACCTTGCACTTGCACTTTTTGTATTCTTTTGAGCATGGATTACATTGGGTTAATCCTCTTTATGGTTTTGAGTGCGAGTAGATATTTTCTCTCCCACGCACCAGCAGCCTTTCATTCTAGCCTGAGCGCTAACCCTCATACTGGCTTTCCATCTTTTATTTCAGCTCATGAAACATGGGACCAAAACTTTACATGTTGCATTTATATTTTTGTTCAGTGTATAACCTGGCTATGTACAGTATATGGTGATGGGCATGAGCTGTACCAGAGGAAATGCGGTTACTGTGTATTCAAATGGAAGGTATCCAACAGGCACTTGTTTCCACAGCAACCCACGGTACAGTACATGTGTTACTTCCCCCCCACCCATCTTGTGATTATTCAGTTGGATAGGCCATGTACTGAGGAAATGCAGGTGAATGCTGACTGGCTGCTCAGAGCTGCACCAGCAACACTAGGTGTGTCTACTGCTTTATATTTCTTCTGAAGAGCATTAGGCAAAACACAATGCGTTAGTAAGAATAATAACAATATTGAAATTGCTAATTCACTAATCCCTTGATCCTCATACTAATTCACTAAGCCGTGCACACTCCACCTCCTCCCTATCCTCACTAAATGCCCAACCAGCGGGACTAGCAGGTTTTGCAAGAATAAATCCACAAACCGCTTTGGAAAGAATTTGCATGATGTAATGAGGTGTTTGAATTCAATGGAATGGTTATGTCATCATAACATTCTCCACCTAGCCTAGTGAGAGGAGCAAGAAGAGATGCGAAAAATCAGTGATCACAATTACAGCACGGAATGTAACAAAAACAGCCACAGGCAAATCAGGTGTATCAGATTTCTATAGCAACATCAGCAATGCACATTTTTCTAGGATCAGCATAGCAACAACAAACGTCCTACTATTCCTGTGACGGGTAACCAACCGAGTGCTGCTACCACTGGACAGAGAAAACACAAATAACCAAATCAGCTAAGAACATCAGGGTCAGAGGTTAAAACCTTGCCTTGTTCTAGACTTATCCTAAAACAAGTGGACACCAAGCAGAATGGCCAGGCTGGGGTGATCAGAGATCTAGGCAAAAGACAGGATTATTTTGGATATTGGGGCATCTGTAATCTGTGGTGGAATCCAAGGTTCTCTGTTAGGATTACAGACTCTAGGCCTGACTGAGCCAGAGAGGAAGTGCAGATAACTAAAGAAGACTTGTTTTCTCATGCCCTCTCTTGTCTCTCTGCAGCAGACATACAGTACAGTGAGCAATATGTTTGTAACTTCAAATCGCAGTATCAAATCACAATAAATATAGAATCGTGAGAATCATAATACATATCGTATTGGCACCTAAGTATCGTGATAATATTGTATCGTGAGGTCCCTGGCAATTCCCTGGCCTAGCATACACAGTGTTTTATGATCTATCTATGATCTGTCCTGTCACCTCCTTGACATATCTATGTTACAAGCAACCATAGACAAGGACGGAGGATCCATTTGCCCATATCAGATGTCCTTACCCAACAGGTTACCTGACAGCATTTAGTGATCTTCAAGTTAACCTGCCTCAAAAGGAGTAGATCTATCACTGTCAGATCGGACTTGAGCACAAAGGACCACGGACCTTACGTGAGAAAATATGTTCCAGACAGCCCTCCACATTGTCCTGAAAGTCACCTAGTCTCACAGCAACACTCCTTGAACCAGGCGGTGTCAGAGGAAGGCCCTAAAAATTGTCAAAGACTCCAGCCACCCTAGTCATAGACTGTTCTCTCTGCTACCGCACGGCAAGCGGTACCAGAGCGCCAAGTCTAGGTCCAAAAAGCTTCTTAACAGCGTCAACCCCCAAGCCATAAGACTCCTGGCTACCCAGACTATTTGCACTGCTACCCACATGTACATATTACCTCAATTACCTCGACTAACTGGTGCCCCCGCACATTGACTCTGTACCGGTACCCCCTGTATAGCCACCCTACTGTTATTTTATTTTACTGCTGCTCTTTAATTATTTGCTATTTTTATTTTTTACTTATCTATTTTTTACTTAACACTTTATTTTTATTTTCTTAAAACTGCATTGTTGGTTAAGGGCTTTTAAGTAAGCATTTCACTGTAAGGTGTTGTATTTGGCGCATGTGGCATATAAAATTTGATTTGATTTAATTTAATTTGAAGGGACAAATACACAATAGGATTGGGAATCCTGTAGAGCAGTGACATAAGGGGGTACATTTCCCTCTACATTAAGGAAGTGAGACTAACTTTACAGAACCTGAACTGATCCATCAGTCACTCTCAGGAAGCTGGGGCACTGAGTGACATATGATGTTCCTCATCATATCCCAAATGGAGACTGTACGGGGAGCATGATATCTCCTTGCAAGGACGTGCAATGACATCAGAAATGTAGCTTATCAATCTCATCAGCGTCAAAGTCTTCCATGGCTAGTAGTTGGATAGCAGGTTTGTTATCTGTAAAATATGTAACGCATTCCCAGACCACACACACGTAGGTATGTTATGTAGCTAGGTAGTAGGGCCCTGTGTTTTGCTTAATCATGTCACATGACATGGATTTTAACCTTTATTTAAAGCTTTTTTATCAAAGCTGTCTCATTTCCTTTTTATGTCTGATGGTCCAGAACCATCCTGAGACAATTGCTTTAACTTCTGGTCAAATTCTCATTTCTGGAAAAGGCCTAAAATAATGGTGAAAATCCAGGTCATGTGACATGATTAACCAAAACACAGAACCCTAGCTATAAGGTATGATGATGAACGTTGCTCTAAATCAGCATGCTATTCCAGAGGAGTAGGAGCAGGTGCCAGAGTGTAATAACCTACTGCGCCACAGTGGAACACAGGAAGACCTGCTCAATTTGAATAGCCCATATCCACAGGCACACACCCAATCACAGTCATACAGTACAAACACACACGATGTGTGATCTTAGATAAAACAACACCGCTGGTAAACCTCAAGAGGAAAAGCGAGTGAGGAATAATAGATGCAAGTCTCTCTCAGACTGAGGCACTGTGAGCGCCCAGAGGTCCTGTGGGATTTACAAGCCTATGGAACTTGATCTTGATATAACAAAAACTCAGACATTTATCTCAATCAATCTCTATCATTATCTCATAGACACTGTAAACAAATAAACTGCATCCAGACCGTTGAGATGGAAGTGACATGTTTTCATCTTATATTGAACACTGAAAACATGTACATCCCTATCGAACAGGAACACTACGTACAAAGGCTGTGCTGATATCAACAGCAAAAACAGGGAAGAAAAAAGATATTCCGCCATCTCATCTGTGCCGGGACCGAAAAGAATTCAACTGTATCCAATGATATCAACACACTCACAGTGAGTGTATAATTGGAAGGGGCTGTGGAATGCAGTGCTATGACTATGTAGCAGAGGAATCTATACACTAACACAATCTTCCTCACCGTTTACATGCACAATCTCGATGCTCATTTATGTGCCATAACCAATTCATACGGTACACATCAACTATATTTTATCTCATTATCATACACAATACAGGCACAATAAACCTATTAAATGCATCAGATTTCTTCTTCCCTGTTCATACATGCTTACACAAGCTCATACGAACCTATTAAATATTCATCTCTAATCTGAATCTTTCTGCCTGATCACACACACACACACAATCTTCATGTTGTTTATCTCGTTTCTCTTCCCTGTTCTGGATCAACCAGTAGCTGCCCTGAGGACTGACGCTGCTGTCTGAACGGTCTGTGCCTTCTCACCTCCTTACTGCATTTACCAGGTACACACACACACACACACACAACATGTAAATCAACCTACAACCACAGGGAAGAAAATAAAGAACAAGAGAAAGGAGGCTAACACAGAAACAGAAGCAGCATTTCTCTTCAGGTGGCTCCCTTTCCATACAACAATCAACCACTGCTCAGCTCAATTAACTGTGCCTCACACACAGACACATTCCTCTCCTCTGCTATGTCCCAAGGGGTTCAGTGCGCTAACCAACCTGCTCAGCCTCTGAGTCGTAATCCTCATCGTCAGTGCTCAGCGACATGGCCATGGCTGCTTTTCATACCCTGACCAACTCACAGCAAACTGACATGGCTGCAGCCCGCCCCAGCCTGAGCCGCCTTCTCATCCAGCTGCTGTTGCCGTCTACCGCACAGCCCTCCCTCCTGCTCCACAATCACCAGCAAAGGCAAGACACACAGCAGAGCAGAGCAGGCTAGCTCATTAATAGGGAATGGCTAGGTCTCTGGGAGGGAGGAGTACAGGGAGACAGTGCAGCCAATGGGGAGTCCATATGCAGATAAAGTATTTGAATATGTGCAGTGGAGCCCCCCTTCTTCCAGTCAGGAAGAAGAACGCAGAACCAGTTTGGGGATATTCCTACATGAGCAGGATCACTGGCAAGGAAGACCAGACCAGTCCAGCCAATAGAGAGAGACAGATGGTGTTTTATTCCAAAAGGAGCACACAAAGAGCCCACAGAATCAGCAGCTGGCCTTTAAATTGACCGACGACAGGTAGGGGGAGCAGCAGACCACAGATTTCTATTCTCAAAATCCAGCACAATGCAGCTATGTGCTATTGTGTCCACATTAGACTGCTTTGTGAGGGTTTGATCTAGTCTGCTGCTTTCCTGCCTGCCCACTGCATCAGTGAATCTGGCTTTGATTGCTCTGCTCTGGCTATGTCCAGCTGTACTGTAGTTGCTTGGAGCTTTAGATGCAGTACAGGAAGTTAGAAAATATCTAAAGGGCCTTCGCACAGACCATGTTCTATTATGCTACCACTCCTCCCCTCATTCCCCATTCTGTCTTAATCAACACAACAGTAGAAGTGATGTCTAATGAGATGCAGTGACACAACAATTAAGCATTTTTGGACATTGATACAAAATAATAAATCAGACTTATTTGCAAATGATTTGTCAAGCTGATCAGTAGGCCTAGATCACCCATAAGGAGCATAGTTTTAGTTAACCTTTTATCAGTAAACACAAAGCCCTCACTTGGTAAACAAGATCACTCAGAACAGTGTTAATTATCCAACAATGACAGACACTGGATGAGACCCAGCTGTGACATGGAAGAGAAGAGGAGCAAAAAATACAGAATCTCATTATCTCCCTCGTTAGGCAATTCTGCAGCCCACTAAATCAAAATTATGCAAATAAGTACAATCTCTGCACTAGGGAAGAAGATCATCTAGTTTGAGAGACAGGAGAGTGAGAGACACACAAGTACCAAAACCACGACATGCGCCCTGCTCTACTGGGCCAAGACAGAGAATGAATATGGGCAGGCTTTCAGATGACAGATGAATGACAATACTGAGGCTACAAACACCGCATTCTCACCTTGGCAGACTTCTTGGGCCAGCACACCACAGGTACTCCAGTGGCAGCCATTTTGGGATCATCGTCTTCATGTTCCTTCAAGACAACCTGGGGAACGGGAAAAATAGTAAAGTAAATTCCTTTGTTTTGTAATGGTACGTCCAGATATTTACACAGAGACAGAAAATACATTCGACCGGAGCTGTATGAGCTGGACGAGGCACATACCTTCATGTCATCCAGCAGGGCCTGGGGGTCCTCGATGCCATCTGGGACACATTTCTTATTTTCGGGGAGTGCTTCCAGCTTCTCCACCAGGGCCTTAAGGCCCTTCAGTTCAAACTCAGTCAGATGAGTCCATTTACTCTGAGACTCTGAGCCTGGTGAGCCAGAGGGGGTTTTGGGGAACTCTGGAGGCTGGGTGGAGGTGTGGATGCAGCTATCCTCCAAGGCAGCTTTGAGGGGCTGAGGGCCACTGGGTTTACCCTTCCTGTTATCAGGAGAGCACGGGTCATCAAATGCTGACCTGTCCCCCAGTTCATCTCGTCCCTGCTGCGTCTCGCAGGAGTCCTCTTCGTCCATGTCCTGGCTCCGCGAGTCAGAGGAGGGGCTCTCAGTGCTCAGCTTCGTCTCCAAGTCTGAAGAAGAGCAGGAGGAGGATGAGAGAAGACTAAAGGACCAGTCAGCTGTGCTCCATGTGTAACCATTCCGGTCAAATTATAATTTCAGTCACTTTCATCATGCTAGCTATCGTTTCTGTGATAACGCAGTCTCACTGATTAAATAGAGGTCAGAGGGTGTCATAACATTGTCTCTTAGCAAAGGATTAGAGTGTTACCCGCTTGTGAGTGGTAATTACAACAAGAGTGCAAGGCAAGAGCTCTCGGGATAGAAGAAGGTTTGAGGCAGCATTCATGGACACCCCCGGGGCATTGGTTAAACAGCTCCATTAGCTGGGCTCACTCACCGATTAGCAGAGGCTCTCTGTGGAACTCCGGAGCGAGATGGGAGCGCTTGGTCAGACAGTGCACGTATCTCTCAAGGACATACCAGCACATTTCATTGTAGAACGGGTAGCGGAACTTGGAATGAACCTGAAACGAGTTTGGAGAGAAAGTGTCACTATCTAAGAGAACAAAAGGCTCCAAAAAGACAATGAGGGTAGTCATTCCTATGTTTAGTCTGCTACCATTTTGTAATGATTAACAAGAGTTAATGCCTAATCTTCACTGTGGGTCCGGTGGTTTATTTACTTCCTTCTGTGTTAATACTCAAGCAGTAGGCATAATGTCTGTGACTAGACAGTTATCATAGCACTTAAAAGTGAAATTTTCTCTAGGCTAAAACAAAACTCTTCGCTGTGATTGCATTGAAATATACACACACACACACACACACACACACACACACACACACACACACACACACACACACACACACACACACACACACACACACACACACACACACACACACACACACACACAGTTGAAGTCGGAAGTTTACATACACCTTAGCCAAATACATTTAAACTCAGTTTTTCAAAATTCCTGACATTTAATCCTAGTAAAAATTCCCTGTTTTAGGTCAGTTAAGATCACCACTTTATTTTAAGATTGTGATATGTCAGGATAATAGTAGAGAGAATGATTTATTTCAGCTTTTAGTTATTTCATCAAATTCCCAGTGGGTCAGAAGTTCACATACACTCAATTAGTATTTGGTAGCATTGCCTTTAAATTGTTTAACTTGGGTCAAACGTTTCAGGTAGTCTTCCACAAGCTTCCCACAATAAGTTGGGTGAATTTTGGCCCATTCCTCCTGACAGAGCTGGTGTAACTGAGCCAGGTTTGTAGGCCTCCTTGCTCGCACACGCTTTTTCAGTTCTGCCAACACATTTTCTATAGGATTGAGGTCAGGGCTTTTGTGATGGCCACTCCAATACCTTAAATTTGTTGTCCTTAAGCCATTTTGCCACAACTTTGGAAGTATGCTTGGGGTCGTTGTCCATTTGGAAGACCCATTTGCGACCAAGCTTTAAATTCCTGACTGATGTCTTGAGATGTTGCTTCAATATATCCACATAATTTTCCTTCCTCATGATGCCATCTATTTTGTGAAGTGCACCAGTCCCTAATGCAGCAAATCACCCCCACAGCATGATGCTGCCACCCCCGTGCTTCACGGTTGGGATGGTGTTCTTCAGCTTGCAAGCAACCCCCTTTTTCCTCCAAACATAACGATGGTCATTATGGCCATTATGTTTCATCAGACCAGAGGACATTTCTCCAAAAAGTACGATCTTTGTCCCCATGTGCAGTTGCAAACCGTAGTCTGGCTTTTCTATGACGGTTATGAAGCAGTGGCTTCTTCCTTGCTGAGCGGCCTTTCAGGTTATGTCAATATAGGACTCGTTTTACTGTGGATATAGATACTTTTGTACCTGTTTCCTCCAGCATCTTCACAAGGTCCTTTGCTATTGTTCTGGGATTGATTTGCACTTTCCGCACCAAAGTACGTTCATCTCTAGGAGAAAGAACGCGTCTCCTTCCTGAGCGGTATGACGGCTGCGTGGTCCCATGGTGTTTATACTTGCGTACTATTGTTTGTACAGATGAACGTGGTACCTTCAGGTGTTTGGAAATTGCTCCCAAGGATGAACCAGACTTGTGGAGGTGTACAATTATTTTTCTGAGGTCTTGGCTGATTTCTTTTGATTTTCCCATGATGTCAAGCAAAGAGACACTGAGTTTGAAGGTAGGCCTTGAAATACATCCACAGGTACACCTCCAATTGACTCAAAAGATGTCAATTGGCCTATCAGAAGCTTCTAAAGCCATGACATCATTTTCTGGAATTTTCCAGAAAAAAGCACAGTCAACTTAGTGTATGTAAACTTCTGACCCACTGGAATTGTGATACAGTGAATTATAAGTGAAATAATCTGTCTGTAAACAATTGTTGGAAAAATTACTTGTGTCATGCACAAAGTAGATGTCCTAACCGACTTGCCAAAACTATAGTTTGTTAACAAGAAACTTGTGGAGTGGTTGAAAAATGAGTTTTAATGACTCCAACCTAAGTGTATGTAAACTTCCGACTTCAACTGTATATATATATATATATACAGTGGGGAAAAAAAGTATTTAGTCAGCCACCAATTGTGCAAGTTCTCCCACTTAAAAAGATGAGAGAGGCCTGTAATTTTCATCCTAGGTACACGTCAACTATGATAGACAAAATGAGAAAAGAAAATCCAGAAAATCACATTGTAGGATTAGGATATTGGCATATATACTTTTTTTCCCCACTGTATATATATACACACACACACACACATACATACACACACACACAGTGGGGGAAAAAAAGTATTTAGTCAGCCACCAATTATGCAAGTTCTCCCACTTAAAAAGATGAGAGAGGCCTGTAATTTTCATCATAGGTACACGTCAACTATGACAGACAAAATGAGAAAAGAAAATCCAGAAAATCACATTGTAGGATTTTTAATGAATTTATTTGCAAATTATGGTGGAAAATAAGTATTTGGTCACCTACAAACAAGCAAGATTTCTGTCTTTCACAGACCTGTAACTTCTTCTTTAAGAGGCTCCTCTGTCCTCCACTCGTTACCTGTATTAATGGCACCTGTTTAAACTTGTTATCAGTATAAAAGACACCTGTCCACAACCTCAAACAGTCACACTCCAAACTCC